ACGCATAGTTCTATGAAAAGACTTTTGGCAAGTAGTGGAAAAGATTCTAAATTTACTAATAAATTACTAATAGACGAGTCCATGGAATTGGAATGTAACTGACTGATATATGGAACAGAGTTTGGTGGATTATGTCATAAGTCTACAAAATGCCAAATATATATATGTTTCTTGATTTACTTTTAGATGTTCTAGTGTGTGTGTGTGTGTGTGTGTGTGTGTGTGATATACATGTGTATCATGATATACAAGTATACACAATAATACATGATACTTTTTTAAAGATTTATTTATTTATGCACGTAAGAACTGGGGTACAGGCCAAAGGTGTGGGGGGGTGCAAGGATTCACCAGAGAGAGTAGGGAACAGAACAGGCAGATCTACTGAAATACACTGCTGAGGGAGCAGAGGGTGGCCAGGTGGGGATCCAACTCGTGCTGTAGTGCCTGGCAGTACCTTGAAAGCGCTGTCTTTAACCCCTTTCCACCAGGGAGGCCCCAATACATGATACTTTTGATAAAAATATATGTTACAATTTACACTGAGGTTGCCTTGGTCCCTGGGGTTCTACAAGCAAATTGGAAAATAGAGTCACTGTGGTGAGGGTTACTTTTAAAGGTTTGGGTACTTGTGCAAGACACAATAAAGACATATCCAATCAGACCTGGGAGCATTTCAGCACGGGTTTTGTTTTTTTTTTTTTTTTGGTAGGACTCTCGCCGGGGGCCGGGAAACAAACCGGCGCTGCAGAGGCTGTGGGCAGCCTCGCAGCCCAGCACTCAACTGCTGCGCACCAGGGGAGACCCTCAGCACGGGTTTTTTTTTTAAATTATTTTTATTTTTATATATTTTACATCATTGTTCATTTTTAAACAATGTTTGCTTTCTTTTCTCAGGTGTAGTCCCCATAGAATTTCCACCACCAATGCACCCATGCACCATCACCACAGTCCCCTGGGCTCCTCCCTCCCTCCCTCTGATCCCTCTCCCTCCTCCTCACCTGCAGAGTGTCTCTGGTTTATAGTTGTCTGTTTGTTTTTGTTTTCTTTTGTTGTGTTTTGTATTGTTGTTATTTTTTTCCCTCTATGCTGTTTTTCAGGACAGGGTTTAGAGAGAAAGTATCATAATATGGGGTTTAGAATGATGAAAAAAAGTTACCCCTGAGGACAGAAAAGAAGATGCTTCTCTAACAGGATTCCACCTGTGGAAAGCAGCAGTGTAGCTCTTGGCCAGAGGAGGCGTGTTCCATCACTAGGAATAGTGTGAGCTGCTGCTTCTCAGCACCCAGTGCACCCCCACTGTGTCCTAACTGCCCACATGTGCAGCATAGGCACATGTAGAAACCTGTGGGGTACATAGCAGGGTGCCGCTGGTGGTATTTTGATCAATTATGACCTGAACCTTGATATTTGTGTTTGCAAACCAGGTCTGTAGAGATAAGTTTTTGCAACCACGTTAGGCAATAAATCTAACAACTGTAGTCACAGGTGGTGGTATAAGAAGTGTCGGGTGTTCTCAGCCTTGTAGTATCTCTTCTGAAATGGAAAGAAAATTTTACAATCATGTAAACACCACAACAGATGGGGCTCAACAAGTTGAGCTGCCCCTTGTATTCCTCTGTTGGCTTACCTGCCATTGTAAACTCTGAATCTTTGACAGCAAATGTAACCCCTGCAGGAGTTGAGTCCAAACGTTCATTTTTAACATTCCATGAACCAGCCCTCTGTGACAGTGTCATGAGACACTTCGGCTAGGCCTGTCTTGATGGATCAGGGTAGAAGTGGAAGACAGTAGCAGTGAAGAAGGTGAAGTTGAGTGATCAAGATAATCTGTGTATTTTGAATTTTATTGGAAAGCACTAAACAATTATGTGCAGAGAGGATCATGATCAAATTGATTTTTTTAAATAACAAATTCTACTGGTTATACTGTCCCAAAGCTTGAAATAATCTACAATGCCATTAAAAATAACATAAATAAATAAAACACAAAATATTCATATAATAGATTTATCTATAGCAAAAAGAATGAAAAACTGGTCTAGCTATAATATAGATGAACATCAAAACCATTCTGTTAAGTACAGTAATTATATACCATTATATACTATTCCACTTACATAAATCTAAAAACACAAACCACATTGTGGTATTATAAATCAAGAAAATGTTGTCTTTAGGGTTTCTTGTTGGGATTGCCTTTGCTCTATAGAGCAGTTTGGGTAAGATTACCATTTAAAAAATACTCTTTTTTATCATCTATAAATATAATATTGCTCTCCATTAATTTAGATATTCTTTTGGGGGGGGCTATGACATTTTTATTTGGAACTTTAATATTTAAAATATTTAATTATTCATTGCTACTATACGCAAATGAAACTGAGCTTCTTACATCGAGCTTACATTTGCCACTCTGATAAATCACTCATTAGTTCTAGTAGCATTATTGTGGATTCCTGAAAGTTTCTGTTATATAATTATATCATCTGCATTTAAGAACAGTTATACTTGCTATTTTCTTATCATTTGTCTTTTATTTCTTTTCTTACATTGGGTAGGACCTTTACTAAAATGCCAGATGAAGGTGATCAGGGTTGATATCCTTGCTTTGTTTCTGATCTTAGATAGGAATATTAAGCTTTCAATGTTGAATATGTTACCTCTGAGATTATGGTAGATGCCCTTGATAAAGCTCAGGAATTTATATTTCAACTTTAATGAGTATTTTTATTGAAAAGGGATTTTTTTTTTTAGATTTATTTATTTATTTATATAAGCACTGGGTATAGTCAGAAGCGCAGGAGGGTGAGAGAATTCACCAGAGCCAGAGCGGGGAGCAGAGCAGGCAGAAGGACTGAAGTACACTGCTGAGGGGAGTAGCGGGCAGCAGGAGAGGTCTGCGTGCCATGCGGGACCCTCCTCCGGTGGCCGAGGAGCAGCTGGGATTGAACTGGCACCGTAGAGGCTGCGGGCAGCTACGCAACCCAGGGCTCAACTGCTGTGCCACCGGGGAGGCTCTGAAAAGGGATTTTAAATTTGGAAAACGTGTATTCATTTTCACCATTTGGAAAACATGTGTATTCATTTTCAAAATGTTCTACAAAGATACAGTCACCAAGACAGTGTGATTCTTTATTGGGATATGCCAAACATATAGAAAAAGAATTACACAATGTAGAATAAGAAATAGATTTGAGAGATAAGGATTAAACCCTAACACTATGGTGGAATGAATTTCATGAAAGGAACCAAGAAAGCTCATCAAGTGAAAGAAAAGTTTTCTCCAAAAATAATGCTGAGACACCTGTATATCTTACACAACAAATGAATTTAAAACTCTACCTCACATCATGAATAGAAATGAATGCAAAATGAATCCGAGACCTAAATCCAAAACCCCTAGAAGAAAACATAGGACTAAATTTCAAGATTTTGGGTTGTGCAATAATATCTTTAATACAACACAAAAAGAACAAGTGATAAAAGAAAGAACTTTATGCTGAACCTTCCAGTAACCACAGCTTACTGCTCTTTCAAGGATTTCTTAATCACTAGCATCTCACTGAGTAGTACTTAAAGCAATTGTTTTTTGTGTCTCTTCCTTAAAGACTAAATGAGTAGTTACTGTTGCGTCGGGCAACACCATACTGCCAAAGACACGGGAGTCATGGAGCAGGCTGCACAAGGCAGGGTGCTGCTGAGAGCAAGATCCTGGCTGTTTTTATTGATAGATTAATCATACAGCATTAGCTACTTGCGTTAGGAGGACAAGGAGAAAAGGATGGTGAAACTCAAGAATGTCATCTAGGGCTTGGGGGGACATGAGTCTGCTGACCATGTTATCCGCTTGATGACCAAGTGTTGTAATTGAAACCCAGACCGCAGACCCCGGGGCATGGTCCTGATCTTATCAACAAAGTGTTCCACTGATTAGCTTCTGGGGTCCCTTGTCATGTATCGGTCCTCGCCCCCACCCCACCTCCACCCCCTGTTCCCAGTCATACCTCGGTGATGAACACCCTTCCCAGAGTGATCAAGCTTTCTGCTCTTGATTTATTTGAAAGGCATCTTGTAAGGTTTGGCAGCTATGACTGATTGACTGGGCAATTCTGACCTTTGTATAGGAATGCAGAACTGCAGGTAGCCATAATGGTGGCTGAACAGGCCGCTTAAGTCTAGCAGACCCAAGCTACAACTGGGAAAAGGACCTCTCTCTGATACACTAGACTCTAAGACCCATAAGACAGTATCTTTCACATGATTGTATTTCTAGACAAGCACATTTGTGCTCATAAATGCCACCTTAACAAACATAAGCCCACGAAAATCAACCTCTATCCACGCTAACCGCTGGGCCAGCCCTCTGCCCTCCATCGCTACCTGCTTGGCGGCCATTTCCACCTTCTTGTTTCCAATGTGAATTCATTGATTGATTTGACCTAAAATAGAACGTCACTTCCCAAATGGGAAAGATTGCACCACGTTTCACTTGCTTTAAGTCAGGATCATTTTCACTTATGCTTTTGATCAAAATTTAATACTCAACAAGAAAAGCACTTACTTTTAGTGCTTTTCATTAAAAAAGCAAAGACACGTCATTTTCAAGTCTCAAAAACGACAGTTCTGCAAGGACTCTGTGATGGAGCAGGTTTTATGTACACAGAGTGGGGGGATCAAAGTCTCCTGCCACTCTGGGCACTGCTAACAAAGAGATTTTCCCAAGGCAAACCTTTACACAGTTTTGTTTATCAACTGCTGGGCAAGTAGCTCATCAACTATTTCTGTGATTTTAAAGAAATCAGCTCCCTTCCTGATTCCCAGCGAACTTGGAGAAGCAACATCCATGGTCCTGCGTCGGTGGGCGAGGCGAAGCCTGTGAAGAGAGGGTGGGCACTGCCCAGAGTACCCACGTAGTGCAAGGGAAATACTGTCTCCTTCTGAACTTTTCTAAATAAAATCACTTTGCCTCCTCTTGGGCACCCCCCCGTTTGGTCTTGATGGCCTTTCATAGCCTCCTGGATGAAGTCGGCAGCCTGGGGAGATTCCAGATCCTTCAGATGGTTTTCCTTTGCATCTCCAGCCTCCTAGCGTACCCCCACATTCTCCTGGAGAACTTCACGGCCGCCGTCCCCGAGCACCGCTGCTGGGTCCCCTTCCTGGACAACCTCACCGCGTCTGCTAACGGTACCGGGGCCCTCGGCCGGGACGCCCTCCTGAGGGTGTCCATCCCCCTGGACTCCAGCCTGAGGCCCGACAAGTGCCGCCGCTTCGTCCACCCGCAGTGGCAGCTGCTGCGGCTGAACGGGACGGTCCCCGCCGGCCGCGAGCCCGCCACGGAGCCGTGCCTGGACGGCTGGGTGTACGACCGCAGCGCCTTCCCCGCCACCATCGTGAGCCAGGTGAGAGGCCCCGCGGGCCGCTGGGAGGAGCGGGCGGGGTTGGTTTAGGGACCCCCTGGGGGTGAGGGGTTCGGGCTCCGGTTGGCGCTGCGCCCCTTCTCCGTTCAGCGAGCAGGGATACTTCTCCATCGAATGCCAGACGCCTACATATGTAATGAGTCGAACTGAAAAATAAATAGAGGCAACCTTGCTATTGTATGGCTTTTATTCGTAGGTAGGTCAAAGTTTAAGCGAGCAATTGATTGAACGTGTTCAAAATGGGTTGCAAAGCCAGCAAGCTCAGCGTAGGCCACTGCAGAGAGGGGGGTGATTGATCAAAGCCGTGGAGCACAGACCACGCAGAGCAGCCACAAGCAAGAGGAGCACCTTTATTTTTAAAGATTTATTTATGTATGCATACAAGAACTGGGGTACAGGTCAGAGGTGCAGATGGTGAGAGGATTCACCTGAGACAGAGTGGGGAACAGAACAGGCAGATTGACTGAAACACACTGCTGAGGGGAGGAGCTGGTGAGTCAGGAGAGGTCTGCTGTGCCATGTAGTCAGCTCCCCAGCCAGGGAAGCAACTCGTGCTGCAGAGGCTGAGACAGCTTCATGGATTGTGGCTTAACCCCTTGCACCACCCGGGAGGCCCAAGAGGAGTATATTTTTAAAGTTCCTGAAACAACTGTGTTCTGTGGCCTCCGTGGCCAAGTGTGGGAACCGCTCCTATGGAGTAAGACAGGGCTCTGGTTGGACCTATGGGTTTAGAAGAGGCTTTCCAGAGAAAGTTACGTTGAAGCTGAGTTTGAAACGAGAAGTAAAGGTCAGCTAAGGCAGATAATGGGACATGGCCAGCTCAGAGCCTGGGATGAAGAAATGCTTAAGTTGCTGAAGAGGATTCAGTTGGGATTCTGCAGTGTGGTCACAGCTGCGTGGGGCTTCCTTTGCTGGTTTCCTTCTCTTCCAGTGGGACCTGGTTTGTGAATCTCAGTCACTGAAATCCATGGCCAAATTCCTGTTCATGGCTGGAATGCTGGTGGGAGGCCTCATCTTCGGCCATTTGTCAGACAGGTGAGTGCCCTGGGTCACAGTTCTCTGCACCTGGGGTTTCCAGGAACTAGGGAATCATTCTTCCATTAAGAAACTTACCACAAATGAGATTGCCCAGGGGCTGCCTTGGTCCCCAAGGCTCTGGAAACACAAATGGAGAAGTGGTGAGTACTCCTCTGCCAGCTCTAAGTCCTGTGTCTAGCACCCAGAATAATACCCTCAGACCTGGGGGCATTTTAAGGCCAAATTGATAGAGAAGGTACCACACTATGTGGTTTAGTAAGAAAAAAAGTTATGTGGGAACTGAGAAGATGTCTCGAGATTTGGGATTTATCCTGTTTAAAGATACAAATAATGTAAAACAGTGTTGTAGCTCTTGACAGATGGGTGGTGCTGGGGAGGGGTTGTACGTGGTCCCTGGCACCTGTGAGCTGAATGTTGTGGCTCTTCAGAGCCTGGTCATCATCTCCTTGTTGCCCAAGTGTGATGGGTAGACCTGGGGTGTCCATGCAGTGTGTCTTGGTGGTATGTAGAAAAATTGTTCCAGTAACCTTGCTTTTTGCTTATGCAAAAAAATTACTTTAGGGCTTCCCTGGTGGCGCAGCGGTTGAGCCCTGGGTTGCGAAGTTGCCCGCAGCCTCTGCAGCGCCAATTCGATCCCCAGCCACCGGGCGAGGGTCCCACATGGCACGCAGACCTCTCCTGCTGCCCGCTGCTCCCCTCAGCAGTGTATCTCATCAGTCTGCCTGTTCTAATCCCTGCTCTGTCTCTGGTGAATTCTCTCACCCTCCCGCGCTTCTGACTGTACCCAGTGCTTATATAAATAAATAAATAAATCTTTAAAAAAAAAAAACTTTAACTACATAGGGTAATTCATGCAATGACAATGGCTACCACTTGTAGTGTTAGACATTTGGAGCGTCCTGTGCCTTGCAGTGCCTCTTGTGAATTAGATGGTCACTTGCTGCCACCCAGGCAAATCTCTTCTGAGGAATATGGGGAATGAGCCCCTTCCCATCTTCCAGCATAAGAGCATAAGACTGTCTGTGAAGTGGAAATTGTGAGCGTGTATCAGTAAATGTAACCTGTGGCAGGGCTCAGAGCTGGTGTCAATCCCTCCTGTTCCATAACACAGCCCTCTGTGGTTGTGTCATGTGAAAACTTAGACCAGTTTTGTTGGACAATAAAGTGGCAGAAATGGGGGACAGAAGGAGTCTAGCAGGAGGTGGCAGTGAGAACTAAATTGATCCAGAGATCAAGATTATCTAAGGACTTTGAACTTTATCAAAAAACTAAAAGTAAATACTACTGTACTGTGTGTGCAATAGAGAGAAAAAAAGAGGAAGGATATAGTTCAGATAGTTTCCCAAGGAAACACCCAAAGTCACCTGTCCCCTCATGGGTAAATGCCCAGCCAAACAGGGTTGGCCCAAAGCAGGGGCACTGAGGCCCAAAAGCCTGCCACAAGTCTAAGGCACTTTCTGGTGGGGACCCACAGGAAAGGCACAGAAGGGGCCAGCCAAGTCTGGAAGGAAAATAGCAAACTCCCTGCAGAAGTCCAGAAACCAGACTTTTTTTTTTTTTTAAAGATTTATTTATTTATTTATACAAGCACTGGTTACAGTCAGAAGCACGGGAGAGTGAGAGGATTCACCAGAGCCAGAGCGGGGAACAGAACAGAAATATGAAATATACTGATGAAATATACTGCTGAGGGGAGCAGCGGGCGCGGCAGGAGAGGTCTGTCGTGCCATGAGTGACCCTCGCTGGCGGCCGGAGATGGAACCAGCACTGCAGAGGCTGCAGGCAGCTTTGCAACCCAGCACTCACCTGCTGTGCCACCAGGGGAGGCCCCAGAAACCAGACTTTTTAACAGACTTTAATGTAATTTTCAATCAGTACCTATATTGAAATATGGACAACATGGAAAAACTAGTGAAACTGAGACTAAGACAGTTGAAGTTCTTTGGTCTGAGGAAGGAAAAGAACAGTACACTGCACACCTATTAGGGTGGCCAAAATCCCAAGCACCTTCAACACCAAATGCAGGTGGGGATGAAGAGCAAGAGGAAACAAAATCTCATTCATTGCTGATGGAAATTCAAAATACAACTGCTTTTGAGCCAATTTTTTCAGCTTCTTACAAAGCTAAGCAGACTCTCACCAAACAATAAGAGTGAGCAATAAACAATATACACGCAGCAATAATGTACCTTGGCATTGACCCAGGGAGGTGAAGACTTCTGTCCACACACACACCTGCACGTGGGTGGGGTCCTTAAACTGCCTGATTCACAATGGCCCAAACTTGAAAGCAACCAAGGTATCCTTCAGTAGCTGAACTGTGGGGTATCCAGACAGTGGAATATGATTCTGTGCAAAAAGGAGATGAACTATTAAGCCATTAAAAGACTTGAAGGAAGGCCTCCCCGGTGGTGCAAGGGGTTAAGTCTCAGCACTATGAAGCTCTCACCTGCCACTGCAGCATGAGTTCAATCCCCAGCAAGGGAGCTACTACATGGCGCAGCAGACCTCTCCTGGCTCACTCGCTGCTCTCCTCAGCAGTGTATTTCATTGGATCAGCCTGTTCTGCTTCCTACTCTGTCTCTGGTGAATCCTCACACCTCCCTACCACCACCCACCCCCGCACCTCTGGCCTACACCCCAGCCCTGGTATGCATCAATAAATAAAATAAAGGGCCTCCTAGGTGGCGCAGCGGTTGAGCGCTGGGTTGCGAAGCTGCCCGCGGCCTCTGCGGCGCCGGTTCGATCCCCGGCTGCTCCCCGGCCACCGGAGGAGGGTCCCACATGGCGCGCAGACCTCTCCTGCCGCCCGCTGCTCCCCTCAGCAGTGTACTTCGGTCCTTCTGCCTGTTCTGCTCCCCGCTCTGGCTCTGGTGAATTCTCTCACCCTCCCTTCTGACTGTACCCAGTGCATGTATAAACCAAACAAACAAACAAATAGATAAATAAGACATGCCTCTAGAAAATTAAAAAAAAAAAAATAAATAAAAAAATAAATAAATAAATAAAATAAATCTTTTTAAAAAAAAGACATGAAGGAAACTTAGATGCATATCACTAAGTGAAAGAAATCTGAAAAGGCTACATACTGGGTGACACCAGCTGTACAGATATTCTGGTAAAGTCAAAGTTATGGAGACAGTAAAGTGTCAGTGGTTGACAGAGGAGAAATGTATGAATAGGCATGAAACAGTGACATTGGGGGTAATGAGACTCCCCCACTGGATACTGGAGAGGCAGGTCCATGTCATTTTTCACATGTCAAAACCCATAGAATGAATAGTGTACCCTAAAGTAAAGATGGACATTGAGGGGTTATGACTTACTGATTGTCTCTCACGAATTGTTTTTTTTTAAATATTTTATTTTATATAATTCTTACATCATTTTTCATTTTTGCACAATGTATGCATTTTCATTTTGGTTATATTCCCCATACAATTGCATCCCCTTATTTTGACACTAATCCTGCCTCTCCCCTCACCCCCTTACCCCGTAGTGTGTCTTTGGTTTATAGTTGCTTGTTGATTTTGATTTTTTCTTTATTATAGTTAGTCTTTTTCCTGGTCCCTAAATTCCTGCTATGAGTGAGACCATCCAGTATTTTTCTTTTTCTTTCTGACTTATTTTGCTAAGCATGATCCCTTCCAGTCCATCCCGGTTGCTGCAAATTGCATCTCATCAATTGTAAAAAAGAATGGTCTCACTCATAGCAGGAATCTAGAAAACTTAAATAAGAGACCAGGAAAATGAATAACTATAAGAAAGTGAAAATCAAAATCAACAAAAAACTATGAACCAGAGACACTTTTTGGGGGAGTGGGGGGCGGGAGGGGAGGGATTGGGGTCAGAATGGGGGGTTGCAATTGTATGGGGGAATATAAAAATAAAATTTATTATTTATAAAAAAAAGAAAAAAAACAAAAACAAAAAAAAGAAAACAAAACAAAAACAAAAACAAAATTAAAAAAAATAAAAGAAAAAGAATCATCGGGCTGCAGGGTGTGGACACTGAGTAGTCTGCACATGGTGAGGACAGGGAGGGACTTGGGAGATCTCAGCACCTTTTGCTCGATGTTGCTGTCAACCTAAAACTGCTCTTAAAAAATCTATTTTAAAAAAGGAATCACAGAAGTTAGCTTAAAAGAAGAAAAGCAACACGTCACAGAGATAGTATGTGGCATACAAAACCTCGGGTAATAATTATCTTGGCCTTTCTAGGAAATGTTTACCGACTTCTAGTATAACAGCACTCCAAGGCTGTGTGTTTTCTTTAATCATTATTTATCTCAGTTATTTGTCTTCTATAATCTCTATTGACCGCTCCTCAAATGCACATTTCTCTCTCGCGCGTGCGTCCACGTAGTTCTCCAACCCATCCAGTGAAGTTTTACATCAGAAATTGGACTTTTTCAGTCCCAGAAATTCAATTATTTTGGTTTTTTTGTTATGCTTTCTCGACTGAGAGTGCCTATTATTTTTCTAATCAGCTGTGATTTTCACATATTGATCATAGTTTATTTACATCTATGAGGATCGTTCTATCACCACTTTAAAATGCTTATTACTTCCCAAATTTGTCTCCTCTCAGAAGAGTTGAATGATTTCCATTCTCTTGGAAAAGATTTTTGCTTTCTTTGGCTCTTTACATACAAAGATACCTTGCATTATGTCTTGAAAATATCAATACTTAGTGTGAACATTCTATTTTCATTATTATTCATCAAGCATGGATTCTTCCCATTAGCAAGTCCTTTTCATGCCTGAGGTTGAAACGACAGCAGCTTTGACAGCAGCTCTGATCTCAATTCCAACTTTCGTTCTTAGTTGACCTGCCTTGAGTTTCTTCTGCCGTGTTCTACTTCATCGGTCACTGCAGACGAGTGGCAGGTATAGGGGTTCTGTCTTTGAGCTTTCCATGACTCTAACCCTCACTCATGTCGGTGTTCCCAAGTTCCCACCTTCTGTGACCTGGGTTTCTAAACCAACAGGATGACAGATACCGCCCCCCACGCACTTCCATCCATCACTTCACTTACAGTGTTACCGCCCCATCCTCCAGGCTGGCAACCAGGCACTCAGCATCTTCCATCTCCTGCTCCCCACTGGCCCTCCCAGCACAGCTGACTGCTTCGGCTTTCTCTCCATTATGTTCAGGTAGTTGCTTTTGTGTAATGTACAGGGGTTATAGTTCTTTTCTGAAGAGGTGGTAGTGTTTAAGTCCCAGTAGAGGCTTTTAAGATAAACATTATGATACAAAATTGAAAATATTCGTTCTTCAGTGTCCTTTGATAATTAACAGGGAGAACCACATAAGAGGCTATGGAAATCATCCTTAGGAAATATGGTGGGACTTTGAATCAAGAAGTTGTCCGTGGAAATGTAACAAGTAACTGGATTGGGACATAATTTGTAGGTTGACACAATAGGACTTCTTCGTGGTTTCAGAATTTTAAGGAGGCTCTGGCTTGGCAAATAGAGGATCAAGGATGATCTCTACACCTTCATCTGAGCAAATGGATAAGTGATGAATTTAATGAGCTGAAGAAACAGAGGAAAGAACACATTGAAGAGAAAGGCAGGTCTTATGTCAGGATACAATAGCTTGGAAGTGCCTATTAGTCAGACAGCAGGAAATACCAAGCAGTGGAAAAACAGCATCGAAAGTGTTGACCTGCTGGAAAATAACAACCTCAAATATGACCCCTAGGATGACATTCAGCTCATAAATACTCAGGCAGCCATCTTCCCCACCACCACCACACCCCACACCCCACAAACCCCACCCTCCCCACCCCCCGCTCAAGGATGGATACACATAGCAAGAAGACCGTGGGGCCGCTTCAGTGCCAGAGTCTGTTATTACTGGTCAGTGCCCCTGACGTTCTTGTTGCTAAATATTTTGAATGTCTGTCCGTGACCGATTCTCAGGTTCGGGAGGAGGCTGACCCTCAGATGGTGCTTCCTGCAGCTCGCCATTGCGGATACCTGTGCAGCCTTCGCGCCCACCTTCCCCATTTACTGCTCCCTGCGCTTCTTGGCTGGGTTTTCTACCATGAACATCCTGACGAACTGTTCTGTGCTTAGTAAGTGAAAACTTTAGATCTTTGACATTTTCCAAGGCTTAATGTCGACTTTGAAATCCTAACTTTGTTTGAAGTCAAAGCCCTTTCTGTGTTCTCTTCCAGTCGTGGAATGGACGGTGCCCCAGTTCCAGGCCATGGGGATGACAATGACCATCTGTGCTGCTTGTATCGGACAGATGCTCCTGGGAGGACTGGCCTTTGCCATTCGAGACTGGCAGACCCTTCAGTTGGTGTATTCTGTGCCATTATTCGTCATCTTTCTTTTCTCAAGGTATAAGCTCCTTCCTTGGTCTTAGAGGACCCTGGCAGGCAAGACACAGAATCAGGACCCAGGAATTGTGTGTGGTGCTGAGTCAGCACTTGAGCGCATGCCCCACGCATCTGTGCCCTACTTTCAACTCAAGAAGCAGAGCAGGCGTGGTCGTCAGGTAATTCCAAAGGCGTTCAGTTAAATTCGAATTTCAAATAAGCAACAGATATTTTTGGTATGGTATCTCAAAGACTGCGTGGAGCATAATTGAACCAGAAATTATTTGTGGTGTATGTAAAATATCTATTTATCTGAGAGCTCTGGATTTTTATTTACTAGCTGATCAGAATACAGGGTGTTTCATTGAAGTGAAATTTCAAACAAACACTTTTTGGTATAAGGATTTCCAAAATATTGCATCATAGACTCAATCATTACACAATTCACTGCTCATCTGAATTATTTTTATTTGCTAAAATGTGTCAGATCCCCTGGGTAAGGAACCAAAGCACTTCCTACTCTATACTCCCACGGCGAAGTGCGCTGCAGAGATGCCACTCTCACATTTTCCTAGTTACGGTACAGGCAACATTAGCTCATGTCCCCTAGTGTAATCAAGCAAGAGCCGGCCCCAGGCAGAAGCAGAGAGGCGTTTCAACACACGGGTTATGTGAAAAATAAGCCAGCGAGAGTGGGCTGCACCTCTGTCTTCTCTGAGCAGGTGGCTGGCAGAGTCCGCCCGATGGCTGATCATCACCAACAAACTCGAGAAGGGCCTGGAGGAGCTTCGAAAGGCCGCACACAGGAACGGCATAAAGAATGCAGGGAGCACCCTGACCATGGAGGTGAGCCGGAGATGGGGTGGCTGTGGGGTGGGGGTGACTGACATATACGCTATTTGGTGTCCGCAAAGGGTGGGACACAGATCTGGGTCTGGGTCTTCTTAACTCATTGTCCTGGTTCTCAGTGGCTGTCAGCATGGCTGGGGTCACATTAAGAAAGAATATGCGGTTGCTGAGAAAACTATGCACATTTTTTTTTAAGATTTATTTTATTTATTTATCACACAAGAGCTGGGGTATAGGCCAGAGGTGTGGGAAGTGGGTGAGAGGATTCACCAGAGACAGAGTGGGGAGCAGAACAGGCAGATCTACTGAGATACACTGCTGAGGGGAGCAGCAGGGACTCAGGAGAGATCTGCTGCGCCGTGTGGGTCAGCTCCCTGGCTGGGGATTGAACTCAGGGCCCAGTGGCTGGCGATAGCTTTGTAGCGCTGAGACTTTAACACCTGCGCCACCAGGGAGGCCCCTCTGTCATTCATTTTCCCTGCCCCTTTTACAGTGGTGGCTGTATTATCAGTGTCTGTGTTTTCCACTGCATATAGTAGCAAGCTGCCTCCCTGGTCCTCTGTGGGGGCTTCCATGCCTGCCATTTTGTGGCAGCTGACAGTTTCTTGTTGCTGTTAAAGGTCTTGAGATCCGCCATGCAGGAGGAGCTGGAGGCCATACAGAAAAAACATTCTGTGTTTGACTTGTTCCGAACACCCAACCTTCGGAAAAGGGTCTGTTTCCTATCTTTTGTGAGGTAGGCATGATGTTGCGCGGCATGTTAAAGGAAGGGAGACGCAAATCCTCTCAGGGGCTGCGGTGGGGACAGACCACAGATCAAAGGGAGGAAACCATCACGATAACCACTAAGTTTAGAGATGGCCAGCGAGCTACAAACAAAACAAAAAATAAGAGCAAACAAAACACTGGCCAAGAACTAATTACCCAGTCAGTTCTGTCTCTCAATCACTGCAACAGGCTGTTCCAGAAATGGGAGCTGAGAGCTTCATTCATGGAACATTTTGGCTTTAAAAATTCCTTCACTGTTTATTTCCTCACATTATTTCATTTCCATTGAAGGAAAATTCCACAGTGTATAGCACACCTACAGCCGGTACAGTTCCATGTGTAAATAGGCAAACACCCCCAAGATCAAGAGAGAAAACAAGCCCCCCAGAAGCTCCGTTATTTTTCTCTGTAACGTTCCCCACAAAACCTAACTACGAGCTCCCTCCTCACACAAGTTTTATGACAGCTTAAGAGCCTCACCACGCAGAGAAATGACCAACGCAGACTCTGAGTCACACCTGAACACCAGTCCCCACCCCCGGCCAGCCTTACCACCGTCCCCTGCGGGACGCAGGCCGACGCCTGACCTTTCTCCTTCCGGTCTCCACAGATTTGCCTTCTACATGCCCTTTTACGGCCTGGCTCTCCACCTCCAGCACATGGGGAGCAACGTGTTTCTGTTCCAGGTGCTTTTTGGGGTCGTCAACCTCCCCTCCAATTACGTGGCCCTCCTGGTGCTGAATCACATGGGCCGCCGAGCCAGCCAGATCCTTCTCACGTCCCTCCTGGGGCTCTGCCTTCTGACCAGCACGTTTTTGCCTCAAGGTGAGAAAAGACCACAAGCCCAAGAGAGGGAGTGGCTCTCCCTGCTCCTCGGGGCTGCACTCACACCTGTGTGAGGCCAAGAGAGAGAATTTGGTCATCGTGATCCCCCAAAACCAATCTGGGGATGTGGGCAGGGAGCTGATTCCGCCACTAAGTTGCTGACGAAGAGTCACAAGCACGTGGCCGTCAGCGCTGGGAGGCCGCCAGGGCACTTTCTCCTGATGGTTTCTCTAGGGCAGCCATTGGCCACTTGCCCTCTGGCCCATCATACTTGGAGTTGAAAGTGACGGAACATGTCGTTATATGTCATTTTAACTCACCTGAGGACACAATGCTGTCACTTCCTTGGACTGGGCTCTTTCTAACTGTGGCAACTTCAGGGACAGGCTACTCCCTGCCTTGTGCCTGTCGACCCACGTGTGTCATTTTAGGTCACTGTAACAGCAGTCTGGTTAGGCAAGTCTTCTTCATGTCAAGGCTATAAAATCCCAGATTTTCAGGCAGACAAGTGTATACTAGGAACAAGGCGTTGTGCAATTAGAGCTTCTCATTGAGTTAATTTTACTGAATTGAATGATCATATGTAAATGACAGGATGATAGAACAAATGATCAACTGAATGACCAGGGCTCCAGGTGGTCACCTTGCATCTCCTGACTCCCAGGTAGGATTCTGTCCGAGTGTCAGCAATGTTGCTCTTACAACCAAGCCCTCCAGTGTGGAACACTGGGACTTATTTTAAATGGCTAGAAAGCTGATTCTGCAAATGTCTTCTTAGAAGTTTCCAAAATCTACTTTCCTCTAATACAGATCTTTATTTTTAAATCTACAAATAATATTCCAGATCAAGCTGACATTTACACAAACCCCATTCTTGCCTGGCCCTTGACTACACTGTCATCAGCATGTCAGTACTGTGTACACGCTTGGGTTTTAAACTCTCAAAGACATGGCTGAATCTTACCTGTTCCAGGAATTGTTCACAGGACAGTCACCCATTCTACATAAAGGGCAGAAGAGACACTTCATAGAACAATTTTTTAAAACTCTCGCTGAATTCACGTTGCTCTCTCCATCCTTGTGACTCTGATGTGCGTGGAGAGGTGATGCACTAGCTCTTGTATTTTTATTCTTTACTTAAGCTGTGGCATGTAGCTGAGTCCCGCTCCTCAGCTCTGCCACCTTCTCTGCCACCATACGCTTTCCCTACAGTAAACAGATCTCCCATAGGGTCTTCCTCATTCATGGGGTGCTCATTTCTTCACCTCTGATTTCCTGATTCTCACTGTCTCCCTCTCCAGAAATGCAGATCCTACGCGTGGCATTGTCAACGCTGGGAGTAGGTGTATCTTCTGCAACTGTCATCTGCACTTTTGCCCATGGACACGAGCTGATCCCCACCGTCATCAGGTACACAATCTCCTGAAACTCTCTCAGCATCAAAACAGACCTTCTCCAGCTAATTGACCCAGCAGGAAGAAAACTAAGATGGGTGGGTTATTAAAAGCATCTATTATAACAGCGTTATTTATTGCAAAAATCAGGCAGATGCTATCTCCCGTCTTAACCCTGCTCCCTTGCAGGACATTTCAATAAAATCCACCTTTTCTGTTCTCTAAAAAAAAAAGTATAACCAAGGTTTACTGAAAGCTGACTTTTTTCAGACACCCGTCAAGCCCTTTAAGCTATGAGAGCACATAATATTCTGTACCACTCTAGGGTAGGTGTTGAGAGTAAAGGTGTTTTTAAGATAATTAATGTATGACTTAATGCACTTGTGCACTTGAAAAAAAGTTGCAAGCAAATGGAAGAGCATAAATATCATATACAGTCCATTGTCAACCTCCCTAAGCGCCGCTGTGGTGTCTCCTGCAATCAATGCAAAATTTTAAACCATGAATCACGCGTGTGGATTTATGCCTAGCTTTTTGGTGTTGCTGTTTGCTTCCCAAGGACCACAGCTTCAGGCTTCATGGGACTTGCAGGCAGTACAGGGGCGGCCCTGGCCCCCCTGGTGATGATCCTGGCGGTGTACTCTCCCTACGTGCCCTGGATCATCTATGGAGCCCTCCCCCTCCTCACTATCCCTGTTATCCTCCTTCTGCCCGAAACCAAGAACCGGCCCCTGCCTGACTCCATCCAGGACGTGGAGAACACGTGAGTCTCCCTGCTGTGCCTTCCTTGGGGACTGTGAGTTACCGACCCGGGATGAGGAAGGAGGAACATGCGTGAGACCAGGTCACTGTGCCCCCACAGGCCTGGTCCTGAGCTACCTGCATGGGTCAGTGCCTGAGGTTTCAGAATCTCCTCTCCCACCCACAGTGATGTCACAGTCCCCGCCCCCAGATCCTCGGGTCCACACACCCTTCTGCACACATCTGTCAGCTTAGAGGCCAGGAGCCCAGCACCAGGTGCCCTCTGTGGTAGGCACACCCCCAGGGCATTACACACACATACACACACACACACAGAAACACCAGACTCTCAACCCACACCCCATAGCCTGGGCCCAGGGAGCGCAAGAAGCCAGTTCCTGTGGGTGAGGACTGCCCTGGTCACTGAGGAGTGAGGGGAACCAGGGAGTGGCCAGGGTCCTGCCGGGGAGGACAGCGCGGCTCATGGGGAGGAGTCCAGTCGGGCTGTCCGCGAGTCAGAACATCACGTCTCCACTGGGATCAAAGCTTTGAGAAAAGGGGAAACAGGAGCAGTGGCTCTCAAATCACGAGGGGCTGGGAAGGATTTCTGGGCCTCCGTGTGCACCCCTTGCCCTCTGGCCAGTGCCACAGCGTCCAGGGTGAGAGTGGAAAGTGTCAGAGCTGCCCTGACCCTTCCCCAGAACTCAGGCTCTACACCAGCCTTACTCACACCCTCAGGGCAGAGGCCACGGCTTTGCCAGGGCTGGCGTCTGCGATCACCTGCTCTGATGGTACAATATGCTTTTCCCATGTACTTTTACATTTTTTCTGTATTATCTGTTTGCTGTTTTCATCATTTTTGTCTCAGGAGAAAAGACTCAAAAGAAGCCAAGCAGGAAGATCCCACCGTGAAAGTGACGCCGTTTTAAGGCATTCCAGGAACTCGCTGGGAACCAAAGAACAAGGGCGGGAACCTGGGATTGCTCCCAGATATTGGCAAAATTTGGAAAATCAATAAAAAGATGTAATGGAAAAATGAGTCCCATTTACAATTGCAGTAGTAAATTACTATACATATTAAAAAAACCTACAATGAATCATAAGTTTGAGAAAAATCCTAACACTTTTGAAGGAAACAATAATTTACATAATTGTAGATACCTAACATTTCTAATAGAAAGATAGAACATTAAAAACATTGCTTCTTGGGCCTCCCTGGTGGCGCAGCTGTTGAGCGCTGGGTTGCGAAGCTGCCCGCAGCCTCTGCAGTGCCGGTTCGATCCCCGGCTGCTCCCCGGCCACAGGAGGAGGGTCCCACATGGCGTGCAGACCTCTCCTGCCGCCCGCTGCTCTCCTCAGCAGTGTACTTTGGTCCTTCTGCCTGCTCTGCTCCCCGCTCTGGCTCTGGTGAATTCTCTCACCCTCCCACGCTTCTGACTGTACCCAGTGCTTGTATAAACAAAAAACAAACAAACAAGCAAACAAATAAATAAATAAAACATGCCTCTATTAAAAAAAACAAAAAACAAAAAACATTGCTTCTTCTCCAATTCATTGGTAGAGAAATAGATGACGTCATCACATCTCTTCTCTGATGTCACAGAGAACATCACCCCTGAGAAGCTCAACCACATCAGTCGTTCCCTCCGAAGGTATCACCAGATAGAGTGTCCTGCCATCTGGATCATTAACTGACCTGTTTAACACCTTCTAGCCTAAAGAGTATCTAGCTCCAGGCCCCCCTGGTGGTGCAGGCGGTTGAGCCCAGCACTGTGAAGCTGTCCGCAGCCTCTGCAGTGCTGGTTTGATCCCCGTTGGCCGCGGCGATGCCCACATGGCAAGCAGACCTCTCTTGTCTTGCCCACTGCTCCCCTCAGCAGTGTATCTCGTCAGTCTGCCTATTCCGGTCCCCACTCTGTCTCTGGTAAATACTCTCACCCTCCCATACATCTGGCCTGTACCCCGGCTCTTGTATAAATAAAATAAATCTTTAAAAAAAAACGAGTATCTAGCTCCTCCCTAGGCTTCGGTCCTGTGGGTCTTGTTGCCTGCTGTTGAATCATTTTTTGGAAACACAAGGGCCTCCCTGGTGGTGCAGTGGTTAAGTCTCAGCACTGTCAAGCTATCGCCAGCCACTGTGCCCTAAGTTTGATCCCCGGCCGGGAGCTGATCCACATGGTGCAGCAGACCTCTCCTGTCTTGCCTGCTGTACCCCTCAGCAGTGAGCTCAATTTTAGCTCACATTCTTTCAAGAAAGAAGAACACTGAAAATCATTATGTCCTGGTTCTTTTGACTTTGGTAGTTCTTTCATTATTTTTTCTCAAGCCAGCAAGAAGAAACCATGTAACATCGTCAACATTTTACATGAAAATTTTCTTAGCTATGTTCAAGTTCACTTTCTACTTCTGACCTATCAGTAGGGAAAGTGCTGTTAAGCTTTCTGCTTCTGTATAATAAGAATCCTCGTTCCTCCCGTTTCTAATAAGCGTTTTCTCACGCTTCTTTGGAAACTTGCTGGCACCAAGTCAACATAAAAACTCTGTGAGTGATTAATTCTGTGAGTGATGTCAGCAAATGGCAAAATAAGAAGCCCCAGCTAAGTCCTCCTTCCCCACAGTTATCAATAAAATGATAAAATACCTCTAAGACATCCAGAAACCAGTTTAAAAATTCTCATACATCAGATGAACAGAAAACCTACCCAGTCAACCAGTCACGTGCATCCTGGCACTCTTCATTCTCTCTGGCCTGTGCCCCACTCCCACACCTCTTCGCGGGGTGCATTTGAGAGAAAACTACCAACTCCCATCTTTTCTGGGAAAGGAAACCAAAAGATTCTGCATACAACTGACTTTTAAGGGCATTGCAAGTGGGACTAGGAGCTGTCTGACCTATATCTAGGTATAAATATGAAGCAAGCCAGCCACGATGACCACCGGGCACCTGAACATTCAACCCCTCAGAGAAATACTAGATGGATTCCCAGGACAGGGATTTGCAGCAGCGTCCACTAGGTATCAATATCACATGTAAACACCAGGGGGAGCTACTGAGTTAAAAAACAACAACAACCAGAAAACCACTTCAAGCAGACTCCACACACAAGCCAGAGAGGGCACATACCAAGAAAAGGCTTGTAGAAGGGACCTCCTTGATGAAACCAAGCTACAAAATCTGGGAGAAGTGGCTGATTCTTCAGCTGCAGAAATCCTCCAAACAAAAAATAAGATATGCAAAGAAATAAAAAATCATGATACATTTAAATGAACCAATGAAATCTCCAGAAACTGAACTAAAGAAAAGAGATATATGACTTGCTAAGGAATTAAAAACCATCATAAAAATGCTCAATGAATTGAAAGAAAACATTGATAGACAACTAACATAAAAATCATGAAAACAGAATATCAAGAGATAGAAACTATGAAAAAATAGAAATTTGGGAATTGAAGAATAGAAAAACTGAATTTAAAAATTTACTGGAGGGACTCAGCAACAGATACATAGATACATCCTATCGGTTCTTTTTCTCTTGAGAACTCTGAGTAGTTGGATGAATGCACCTCCTGTGTCTCTAAAAGGGTGCATTTCAAAGGGGCGTTTTTATGGTATATGAATTAAATTTCAAAAAAAGTAAACATTAATTTTAATCAAAGATTTCGTGCTATTCAAGGCAACATTTACTCCATAGCAAATTGTGTATTTACCCTGTATATAAATGTATATGTATTTATATATCTTTAATATAAATGCATACATAAATATGTGTGTTTATAACATCAGAATATGGTTATTCATTGACCTCTCCCTGACTCGCTAGGCTTTATTTGCATTCCTGGAGCCAGCACAAAAAAGATCTCACAAATATTGTTTCAATGGATCAATAAGATATAAAAATAAGCCTCTATGTGAGTTTGCCACTGGCGGAGTCTTATACCCTCCATCTATCTCTTTTCTGACGCAGTTTCAAGTAACTTGTCAGAATGAGTGGGTGGTCTGACCTCAGCTGCAGGAAGAGGCTCACTTTCCAAAGGAGTAGCTGGAACCTCACTCACTTGTTTTAATTCAACTCAGGGCCTCTCTCATGAACTCTTTCAAGCAAATTTCAGGTTCAAATGAAACATTTACTATCAGTCTTCCCACACAAAAAATCATAAAGCATCTCAACATCCTTCTCAAAAATTTTGCTTTTGAGAAAGAACTATGCACACAGAGCCCCAAGTTCTTTTAGTTGTTTAAGCACAGAGAATGTGCAGGTCGAAGTCCGGCATACGCTGGCCACTGCTGAGTCCAAGACTTCACAAAGTACACGTTTAATAGATTTTAGTCAACTGCTGGAAATACCACAGCGAAATCTTTCTCTCTGTGACTTTCAAGAAAATGCCCGCGCACCTCATCCCCTGCGGGCAGCCGAGGTGAAGCAGAGACTTTGAACTTTCTAGAAATACTCATTTTGCCTCCTCTTGGGGATCCTCTGCTCAGCCCTGATGGCCTTTCATAGCCTCCTGGATGAAGTCGGCAGCCTGGGGAGATTCCAGATACTTCAGATGGTTTTCCTTTGCATCTCCACCTTCCTAGCGTACCCCCACATTCTCCTGGAGAACTTCACGGCCGCCGTCCCCGAGCACCGCTGCTGGGTCCCCATCCTGGACAACCTCACCGCGTCTGCTAATGGCACCGGGGCCCTCAGCCGGGACGCCCTCCTGAGGGTGTCCATCCCCCTGGACTCCAGCCTGAGGCCCGACAAGTGCCGCCGCTTCGTCCACCCGCAGTGGCAGCTGCTGCGGCTGAACGGGACGGTCCCCGCCGGCCGCGAGCCCGCCACGGAGCCGTGCCTGGACGGCTGGGTGTACGACCGCAGCGCCTTCCCCGCCACCATCGTGAGCCAGGTGAGAGGCCCCGCGGGCCGCCAGGAGGAGCGGGCGGGGTTGGTTTAGGGACCCCCTGGGGGTGAGCGGGGTTCGGGCTCCGGCGGGCACTGCGCCCCTTCTCCGTTTGTAACAGGGAACAGGGTGGTACCCAGGAAAGGGGGAAGTTCCTTGCCCCACCCAAGGGAGGGTGGAGCTGAGCAGGGAGAGGAGAAGCTGCAAAGGAGACTGAGGAAGGAAGGAAGCAGGATGGAGCCAGAAGGAGCCCTGGAGGAGGCGCATGGAGCAGGGAGACACGTGAAGAAGCTGCGCTTGTCTTTTGGTTGTGGACTGGGTGACACAGATGTGGGTGAGACCCGTGGGGAGGTGACCATGGCAGCATTTATCTTGATTTTGATTTTGCTCTTTTCCTTCTGGGCTTGTCTGGTTGTTTCTGACCCTTTTCTGTGGGTCCCCACTGGAAGATGCTTTAGACTTGTAGCAGGCTTTGGGGCCTTGCTCTGGCCCAATCCCATTTGGATGGACTTTTACCCACGAGGGGACGGGTCACTTTGGGTGCTTGATTTAGAAACTATATTCTTTGCCTTTCCTGTATTGTTTCCTAATTGTATTAAAGTTCCTTCCCATTAAAGTCTCATGTTTTGTGTTGATGTGGCGGATGGCAGAACCCATTTAGAACAGGCAGGTTTGCAGGGTTTGGGCTGCCCCTCTCCCTGCCCTATAACACGTTCAGCGAGCAGGGATGCTTCTCCATCGAATGCCAGGAGCCTGCTTGGATAATGAGACTAATGAATCAAAAAACAAGCACGAACCCCTCCATCATCTATTCTTAGGAGGACCAAGTTAGGCAAGTACCATGCAGGTGGTCCTTGACTTTAGATGGTTTGATTAAAAATGATGGGCGTGGGTGGAGGCCCTGGTGCATTCCCTCAGGACGCTGGGTGGAACGGTCAGCGTTTTCAACTTGAGGATGTATTTAACGTTGCATGGATTCATCTGGATGTAACCCCGCAGTTAAGGAGTGGAAGGTATGAATAATGTTAAAATTGTTGTGCTAGGGCAATGGTGTTCAGCCTTTGGTAGGAAATTTAAAACGGCTGGGGGTCTGATAAAACAAAATTTTAAAAAAGTCTAGCCTAGGCACTAACCCGAACCACCCAGTGCAGAGTAAAACCAGACATTGGGTTTAGGGAAGGCTTCCTTGAGGAAGTGATGTTTAAGCTGAAACTTGAATGAGAAAAGGTCAACTAATGCAGACAAAGAAAGCTAGAAAGAGTGAAAAGGGGACGGGAATGCTGAATTTTGCAAGTTATGTTAAGGGGGATTAGGTGTTATTTCCCCTGAGGAGTTACAAGCTGCCCTGGGGCTTCCATTGCTGATTTCCTTCTCTTCCAGTGGGACCTGGTATGTGACTCTCAATCACTGAGCTCAGTGGCCAAATTCCTGTTCATGGCTGGCGTGCTGTTGGGAAGCCTCATATGTGGTCACTTATCAGACAGGTGAGTCCCTCTCCAGCGTGGCTCTCTTTGTTCTCGAGAATTTTCATCAGCTGCTAAATCATTCATTCACTAAGAACTATTTCTTGCAAGTTAAACTTTCCTGGAGTTGACTTGGTCCCAGAGACATAGAAATAAAAACTGAGCATTAATTGGTGTGGTGAGTGACAATTTGTCGGCACTGAGCGCTAAGTACAAGACCCGGAAATGAATCTCCATCAGCTCTGGAGGTGCTCCAGGCAGGATTTCAGGGGAGGCGCCATCACATGTGGTTTAGAAATACAAGAGTTACTATAGGACCAGAAAGATGTTTCGTCACGTGGGAGCCCACTTCTTTCACTGCATGAATTTTCATACCCTTGTTGCCAGCCTTGGCTAGGATCTCATTCAAGCTCTCATTCCCCACAGAAACACTGGAAAACAAAGAAGTACACTGTCTAAATTAACTTTGTCAGAGCTCTGAAAAATAGTCAGGGATATACAGGAACCAAGCAATTGCCCAATTGAGAAGAGTCATCCTAAAAATAGATTTTTACTCAGTCTTGCCCCATCCCCATCATACTACACAACAAATTTGGTCTTGAAGTGACAGCCTGGTTCTCATTTACTTTTCTCAAACCAAAGGACCAAAAAGAGTGTATTTGAAAATATCATGCACATACAATCTAACCTGTCTGAAGGTAGATATGACAAAGGGCACTCATCTCTGATGGACGGACTTGAATCCCAGGCAGGAACCTCGCACTGCTGCCAAAAACTGCAATGTTATTAAAGACCTACAGATACTAGGGCAAGAAATTCATGCTAAAAACACACATTAAGCTATTTAATGTGGTAGACAGGGAGGATGCATGTTCAAAATAGACCTGATAATTTATCTTTTTTATAGCTGAGTAATATTCCATTGTGTATATAGACCACATTCCAAATCTGCTGTCTTTGGACAATTATGGCCATTGTAAACAGTGCTGCCAAAAACATAGGAGGGCACAAATCCCTTCAAATTAGTGTTTTTGCATTCTTTGGGTAGGATATTATGCTGAGCAAAATAAGTCAGAAAGGAAAAAGGCAAAGACAGGGTGGTGTCACTTATATGTGGAATATAGAAAAACAAAACAAAGTGTCATAAAACCATATCGATAACAAGCCCTGTTAGGGGGGAAAGGATGTCCTAAAGCCAATCCCATACAGGCTTTGTGGACAGGCCAAAGCCAAAGACACTGGGAACTCCAAATCCCATCACCACCAAAGGGAAGGTGGCTGGGGCCTGAGGGTGGGGTTAAGCAGCCAGGTTGGTATAAAGCCAGCACGTGGGCTTTGGAGGGGGTTCCCCATTTTGGCTCTCAGCCAGCTCGCAGCATCCGGCCAGCTCTGAGAGTGCCTTTGGGTTTCCAGGTCGGCGGATCAGGTAGGACACATTAAAGACTTTATTTCCCTTTTTTCTCCCTGAGTTGTACATTTTCCTTATTTCCTTTTCCCTTGTAAATAAACCTTTTATTAACTTTTGTGTGTGCCTGTAGTGGAGTATTAATAAGTCCCTTTTCAACTCGCCGGTGAGGACCCACAACCAGGCAACCCGTTCAATATTGGGGCTGCCCTATAACAGCTCTAGAAATCTGACTATAGAATTGAGGCTTCCAAGAAGTGGGTGGGGGGGATAGGAGAGGCAAAGTGTGGAGGGTGCCCAATGGACTGTGGTGGGGGATGGTGAGTGTGGTGTGGTAACACACATCTGAAGGGTGTGACCTAGTATCATATGCAGGGCTGCAAACGATTGTTACCTCAATAAAATGATTAAAATTTTAAAAAGAACTTCAACTTTCACCTTGGATTGATCCCTGCTTCACAGGAAATCTTCGTAAGACTTCAATGAGTGTCCCAGTAGAAAGCCAATGTGCAAACATTGAGAGGACTCCTGGGACTCAAGGTTGCTTCAGAGATCTGCTGCAATGATCCATTTATTCTTTATGGGTTCAAAATGCTTTCACTTTTGCTAATTTTCATTCAGTCGACCCCTGTGCTCTTTCTCAGGCTTGGCAGGAAGTTGGTGATCAGATGTTGTTTCCTCCAGCTCGCCATCTCTGGCACTTGTACAGCCTTTGCTCCCAACTTCTTCATCTACTGCTTCCTGCGCTTCTGGGCTGGGTTTTCTACCACAAGTATCCTGACAAATTGTAGTATGCTCAGTAAGTCAACACTTTAGTTTCTTCAACATTTTCCAAGCCTTGATTTTGAATCTGAAATCCAAAAGTCTGTCTGTGTTTTCTTTTAGTGGTAGAATGGATGGTGCCCAAATACCAAGCCATGAGTACGATGCTGTCAATCTCTGTGGGTAGTCTGGGGCAGATGTCCCTGGGAGGCCTGGCCTTTGCATGTCAAGACTGGATCACCCTCCAGCTAGTGATGTCTATACCATTCTTTGTCTTACTTCTGCCCACAAGGTATGCATCTTTTTGCCTTAGTCTGTGGCATCCATCCTGGGATGAGAAGGTACATGGAACTCTGTCTGGTCTTGATCTATTTCTGAGCATGTACTTTCCAGGTATGTTCCCTATGTGCAATTTGAGAAGCAGAATCGGTAGAGTTTGCCAGATAAATTTTAGAACACTGAATTAAATTTGAATTTAAGATCTTTGTAAAATTATATTCCAAATATTTCAAGACAGATAATTATATTGGTAAGTAGTCATGGTTTATGATTTCTACTGAATGTTTAGTGTTTGTATTTTTATTCACTAACTAGATTTTCTAAAGGGTGTTCCTTTATGTTAGAATTTCAGGTAAAGAACAAATAACTGTTTTGTATCAATAGGTCTAGAATATTGCTTGGACATAGTTATAATAAAAATTATATACTATGTATGAAATTCAAATTTAATTAGACACACTAGTTAAATCAGCACCTGAAAGACAGGAATAACAACAAAAGTATGTTCTGAGTTTTTCTGAGTCTTTTCCTCCTTGCTGCAAAGGCTGAACAGTGTTATAGAAAGAGAATTGCTACAAAAATCTTTTCTCTGTAGCGAAAAACATTTGAAGATTAGATCCATTACAATCTGTGTATGTGTATGGCTTTGCCAATAGTTATATGATGATGATATGGGTAATTTTCATTTTTATAGGTGATTTTGGAGAGAGGGAGAGGATGCACAATATGACTTCTCCAATCTCTTTCCAAGTCAAATGATTCATATCATTGATTCTATACATACTCTTCCGCCTTTGTGTAAAAGTCTCAAGAGTGCCTATTACATTTCTTCTCTAAGAAGATTCGGTGGTAGAAGCCTCTATGAGTCTGCTGCAGCTAGATGATCACAGATACAGTGCAGGGGGATGCCTTCTTTCAGGGGAGGAGTGTTCTCCGTCAGGCCATATGCTGTGTCACTTTATCTTCAGAGCAATTCTACATAGCACAACCTCTTCATCACACAGAGAAGTGAAGCAGACAACAACCAGTCCGGTAGGCAGAATCCACCCCAGCTGCTAGGAGCGGGAGCAAGTCCAGTCTATGCAAGGATCCCCTGTCCATAGCCATGAAAGGGTGTTTATTACCGGGAGAGCATGTTATGAGTGTCCCCACAAGGGCTTTGGCCCAGGTTTGTACAGGTGAGTGCCCCTCACACTCCAGCTTCATGCACTCCCTGGTGAAATCACTTCTAAGTAAGAATGGGGTCCATGCGACTGGGGTCTGCTGCGCTCCCAGCAGTGAGGGCGCATTGCAGGGAGAAGTGTTCCAGTTAGATCCAAGAGGACATAAGGCCACATTTCTTGGTATAGCCCCAAACGGTTGCAGGTATTAGGTTGGGGGAAGGCATCTCTGGACAAAGGTTATATAAAAAATAAGCAAATAAGTGTTAACTGCTCCTCCGTCTTGGAGCAGGTGGCTGATGGAGTCTGCTCGGTGGCTGATTATCACCAACAAACTCGACAACGGCTTACAGGTGCTTAGGAAAGTTGCACAAATAAATGGAGTAAAGAATGCGGATGATACTCTAACCATGGAGGTGAGGAGCATGGGCCTCGGGATGTGAGGTTACGGGATGTGAGGACTTGAAGTGATGTTTTTTCAAAGAAAACATACAAATAGCCAATAGGTGTATGAAACAGTACTCAGGGTCACGTATCGCCAGGGAAATCAAATCAAAACCACAATGAGATATCACAGGACACAGGCTAGGGAGGCTGTTATCAACACGAGGGGTAACAAACATTTGCAAGGGAACCCTCAGACACTGTTGGTGGAGATGTACTTGGTCCAGCCATTATGGAAAACAACATAACTGTGCCTGAAAATATTAAAAACAGAGCTACCATTCTAGCGATTCCACTCCTGGGTGTATTGCCAAAGGAAATGAAACAAGTTTCTCGAAGAAACATGTGCTCACCCACAGTAACTGGGCACTGGTCACGATAGCTGAGACCTGGAAATAAATGTCCTTCAATGGTTGAATGGATAAATAAAATTATGATTGTTATTATTATATCAACATATTATTCCAACTGGACAAAAAGGAAATCCTGCCATTTGCAACAGCAGGGATTAACCTGGAGGGCACACGCTGAAGAAACAGGTAGAGAACTGCAAATACTGCACACTATTGTTTGTATGTAGAATCTTTAAAAAAAAGATAAAAGTTGACTTCGCAGAAACAGAATAGAATGATGGTTACCAGGGCTCAGGGGGAAGGGAAAATGGGGAACTATAGTCAAAAAGTGCAAACTTTCATTCACAAGAAGGGTAAGCCCTGGGGTGTGGTGAAGCTCATGGTGACTATAGTAATGGGGGGTACGTGCATGAACGTCACTGAGAGCACATCTTGAGTATTCTTAACAGACACATCCCCCCCAAAGTTTGAGTATTCTTAACAGACACATGCCTCCCAAAGTGTGGCAGCCACGCACAGCTCGCCGTGGAGGGATGTGTTCATTTTCTTGCTCTTGCTCACAGTCCAACATCACTCCCCCTGTATCTGACCCTCCCGCCTCCCTCTCCTACACTTTCTCCTCCCCTTCCCCTTCCCTTCCAAATTGCTCCCTGACAACTTGGTGACAGGTGCTATGGCAGGCAGGGGGCGAAAGCCCACTGTTTCTCTCTTCAGGCAGGCAACACTCAGGTCAGGGGGCTTGTGTGGGGCAAAGCGAAGAGTGGAGTGTGACCAGCAGCGAGAGAAAGGCCAGCAGCATGCACTGAGGGGTGGTCAGGGTCAGCGTCTGACCGCCCCTCAGCGGTGGGTCTGTCCAGAGTGGGTCTTGGAGGTGACAGCTGAACTGGCCAGGTTTAAAGGGGCCAGGGGAGCGACCGGCTTTGTACAGAGCGGTGCAAGTGACCTCCGAGGGGGTGAGCCAGTGGGGTTTTGGTAAATGTCGAACACTCAGCACTCCAAAGGATGGGAAATTAGAGTCCAAAATTGTTAACAATTGCCAATTTCGGGGGTAGGAATACTTCCATCAGAGTGGATTTCAAGGCACCATCAGGATGTCAACAGGTTCACAAATTTTCTAAAGGCTTAACAAAGGGCTCTTGGAAGATGCAATGACAAAGGCCAGTGGCTACCCCGACACACCGCAGGGGGCAAGACAAGAGGGTGGTGTTTGGCACAAGTGCTTTTTTAATAGGACAAGATGGAAAATTTCTAGAGAAAGATGCATTTAAAATATAAAAATCCAGCAAGTTCCCCTTTGAACATGGGTCTCCTCTGCCCTGAGTGGGGAGCACCCCACCAGAGGAGATAAGCCCCTGGAGTGCTGAAGGTCGGCTGCCATCCTTTGCCCGAGCAGCTTCACCTCTCCGTCTGCTCATGGGGTTTGAAGAGCAGCCTCACAGGCACTGCAGCCCCCCCATCCCTTGCCCCAGGCCAGGTCTCAGGGCTTCTTGGAGGCCATTCTCACAGCACCAACCCCCATGGTGGCCTGCGGTCATCAGTTCTCATGCGGGAGACGAGGAGTCTCTCCGTGACCTCTCTCCCAAAATTCCAGTATCTTTGCAACTGAAAGGACATTCTTGGCCTTGTAGTGTTACAGGGCAAGGTGAGGAGCACCCCAAAACCCCCAAAGCTGCCCACTCTAAATAGGTTCTGCCATCTGCTGCCTCAAAACGAAATATTCTCTAGTGCATAAGACCATTAATGGAAAAGAACTTTAATACAATTTGTGTGTATTAAAAGGCAAAGAATATAGTTTCCAAATCAAGCTCCCAAAGTTACCCCTCCCCTCGTGGGTAAATGCCCAGCCACACAGGGCTGGACCAAAGCAGGGCCATTGAGACCCAAAAGCCTACCACGAGTCTAAGGCACCTTCTGGGGGGACCCATAAAAAAGCGGCAGAGGGGCCCAGCACTTCTGCAACAAAAGGAGCAAAGTCAAGTTCAACCATTGTTGACCCCACGGGTCTCTCACCCACGTCTGTTCACCCAGCCCAGGACCAAGAAGCAAGTGCAGCTTCTTCACATGTCTCTGCTCCACATGGCTCTTCCAGGTCTCCTGCTGGCTCCCCATCCTACTTCTGTCCTTCCTCCAGTCTCCTGCAGCCTCTCCCCACCCTGCTCAGCTCCACCTTTCCTTGGGTGGGGCAGGGAACCTGGAACCGCCCCTTTCCCTGGGGACCACCCTGTTACAGTAGGTCTTCAGTTAGGGAGGGCTTTCCTTTCTCTGAAGCCCCCCACCTCTCTGTGGAATTCTCCCAGTGAGCGTCACAGGACTGTTTCTCTTGTAGAGGTGGGGTGAGGATGGAGCTGATAGTCTTTTAATAATTAATAAGCGCAAAAGCTGTCCTGGCTGCAAATTAACAGGCGCATCTGTGACCTCATGTATGGCCTAGGAAATTCTGGTAGTGAGCCATTATTTTTGTCTTCCTAAACTTCCTTATCTACTCCCAGTTCTGCTACTCCTGATTCTCCTACTCCATATTCTCCTATTTATTCATCTGTTCATTCTTCCTTTGAATGCCAAGGAAATGGAGGACTGGAGATAACCTGTTCCCTCCCTCAAGGCATACACCTGGCTTGTGACACCAGGGACAAATCATATGACACCAACATCTCCCCTGATTTTGTCCTCAGAGGTGATTCTGGGCATCTCATTCATGAGGCACAGCCTGCCAAGATTTCTCTGAAAGAAGCTGATTCAAGAACCAAGGGGAAAAAAAAGCTCTCAGGGTATTACCCTGTTACTCTCCTTATTTTCTCTACCAAGAGCTCTAGTTACCAGCCAGCCCCAGTTGTCAGCCCTTTGCCTGCCCCGTGATAGAAGTGAAGATTTGGACAATGATCCAAGTAATCTCCTTTGCTTTCCTTATCTAACTCTGAGACCTGCACACTCCTTTGCGGTCCTGCAACAAACTGAGTCTCAGATCAAAATTCCTTGTCAAACATCATTTCCCCTCAGGGCCCTTTAGCTCCATAAATCGCTTTCCTGCCACTTGTACACCAGTCAGTGCCTCCTTGTCTGTATTTTGTTGTAGACAAATGGAGGGTGTCTCTCCTCACCTCCCTTACCTGCCAATTTGTGGCAACTGACTGTTTCTTGCTGTTGAAGGTCTTGAGATCCTCCATGCAGGAGGAGTTGGAGATGATGCAGAAAAGATATTCTGTGCTTGACCTGTTCCGAACACCCAACATGCGGAAAAGGGTCTGTGTCCTGTCTTTTGTGAGGTAGGCGTCTCAGCGCGCGTGGGGAGGGTCAAAATAATGGAGGTGTGAATCTAGTCCTCCCCCAAGGTACAACGTGCTGTCGGGACAGATTTGAGGTTGAACAGGAGGGAGCTGGAAAGATCATTGTCATATTTGGAGGTGGCCAAAGGGGCTGAAAAGACTGACAAGGCTGTAATGTCCCCTTAGGAGTTTGCTGTCGTATCACCCCCTGGGCTCGTCCCTGGAGGGGACTCTGAGCTGCCAGAAGGCACTCAGTTTCTTCATTTCCAGTTTCTTCATTTATTTGCTTCCATCTTAACTAAGGTCAAGTTACAAACATCAAAGTGCTCAGGTGCATGCAACTCAATGAATATTTCCACATGTAAACATATAACCAAGATTAAGTTAGAGAAAAAATTGAAAGCCCTAGAGGGCCCTGTCTTAGGTTTACAACAACAAAACTCTCTACCTTCCAGGGGAAAAAAAAAGTTATAATTATGACCTCTATCATCATACAATTATTTTATGGTAATTTTTTTGAAGATTTATTTTATTTATTTATGCATACGAGAGCTGGAGTGTGGGCCAGAGTTGGGGTGAGAGGATTCTCTAGAGCCAGCATGGGGAGCAGAACAGGCAGATCTACTGAAACACACTGCTGAGGGGAGCAGCAGGCTTGACAGGAGAGGTCTGCTGCACCATGCGGGTCAGCTCCCTGACAGGGGATCGAACTCGTTTTGCAGTGGCTGGCAATAGCTTGATAGTTCTGAGGCTTCAACCCCTGCACCACCAGGCCCTATTTTATGGTAGTTTTAAAATCTTAACATTGCAAAAAAAAACCTTATTCCACCAAACAGACCATGCATTTCTCCTTTATCACCATCCCCGCTGCAGTGTGTAGGGTGCACGGTCTAAGCCTTATCACACATGTCTTCTTTGTTCATCATAGATTTACTAGCTTCCTGCCTCTTTTTGGCCTGAGTCTCAACCTCCAGCAAGTGGGAAGCCACATTTTCCTGGTCCAGGTTCTCTTCGGTGGAGTTTCCCTCCCAGCCAATTACATCGCACTTTTGATTCTGAATTGCCTGGGCCGGAGACTCAGCCAGGCACTTTTCATGTTCCTGGAGGGCGTCTCCATTCTGAGCATGATCTTTGTGCCTCAAGGTGAGGAAAGAGCAGCATGTCTTCCCCTCATTTCTCATGAAGTGTGCTGGTTAGACGTATTCGAAGCCAGAAGGAAATGGAGATTGTGTTTTGATCATCCCTCCAGCCTTTAAGTGGCTGGAAAAAGAGCCAGCGGTCAGTTAAGGCTGGCTGCAATTCCGGATGTATCCATTAAATTCGAAGCTGGGTCATTTGCCCCAACAGTTTCTCTAGGACAGCAGCCGATCACTTACTTTTGGCCAATCACGCTTAATACAGCAAGCACGGATGACCCTTCTCATCCAATGGCAGGTGACACGCAACACTGTCACCTCTGTGTCCCGGCTCCTTATTAGTGCAGCTTCCTGTTTCTGCTGCAACTATTAGGGTCACCATGACTGCTAGTCTGCTTTAGGGCCATCACCTTGACTTCAAGAAAACAAAAATCCCTTGTAGTCAGGGAGAGAGAAGAATGCAGTAAGAACAGGCCCTGAGCAACTCAGAATCTCCCTTAGAATCAGTTTTACTGACTTCAATGATTATACGTAATACAGAGAGGACCTGGAGTGACCACACTGCCCCCAGCTCCTGTGAAGTTGTGCTTCTGACATGACCTTTGGTGGGGGCAGTTCTCCTCAGCGCAAGGATCAGCCATGGTGCCAGGTGGCCGCCTGACCCGGAGCCTCCTCCATCTTTGCAAGGCTCTTGTGGAATTTTTTTCAATTAGATAGGAACTCTGAAACTTTCCTTCAGTGGTTTCCAATGTTAGATATTTTTTTTCCCTGACAAAGGTCCTTATTCTCACTATTTGAATATTATTCTAAACCTAACTACTCTCCTCATTGTCCATTAACACAGGACCTCTGCCCTTTAATTAATCTCTTCCACAGTATTAGTCCTGGGTGAATCCTGCACTGAGGTGACAGGTGCGTCTTACGTCCCTCAGCAGCCGCCCACGTGGAGTCCTTTGTCCCCTGTGCGGGGTCAGAGGAGACACAGAACGGAATTAAGAGGGAGCCTCCTGGACCATCCTTTTCTAGAAAATCTTAGATATTCAGGAATAGTTGATTAAATAACATGTAAGTCATACTATGTAGGTAAGTCACATTTCTAGCAATTAGCCACTGCAGGTTTTCAGCCTCTCAGCAGTTCCTCTACACAGGTGTTTATACTCGCAGGCATCTCCACTAGGGTAATTTGGGGGATGCTTGCTAGTTCCTTCAGTTCAGATTTCCTGAGTCTGTCTGATCTTCCTCTCCAGAAATGCAGACCATGCGCATGGCTCTGTCAGCCTTCGGAGTAGGCATTTCCTATGCCTTGATGACCAGCGTTATCACCCATTCCACTGAACTGCTCCCCACTATAATCAGGTACAAATCTCCCAGGCGCTCAGACAGAGCTTTTCCAGTGAATGAGCAGTTAATGGAAGAAAGCCAAGGGTGATTGGTTATCAAAAGTAGCCCATCAAAATAACAATTTATAGGCAAAATTTATAGAAAGTTGATTTCTGTCCAGGGTTACATCCTTTGACATGGTATCTCCTAGAATCTTCTGAAGTGTACAAAGGCAGGTGCAATGAGGAACAGTATTTTGTATGTGATGAAATTGTCTTCATGCACTTAACGCACTTCAGCTTGAAAAAATTGCTAGCAAATAGAGAAAATTTCAAAAGCAGAAGTATGTTGTCAACCTTCCACACTGTTGTGGTATCTCCTATAATCAAAGCAAAATAGCAAATCACAAGTTACTTGTTTAGATTTCTACCAGATTTTTAGTATTGTTATTTGCTCCTCAAGGGCGACAGCTGCAGGCATCCTGGGAATTTGGGGTAGTGTTGGGGCAGCCGTGGCCCCCCTGGTGATGATCCTGGTGGTGTACTCTCCCTACGTGCCCTGGATCATCTATGGAGCCCTCCCCCTCCTCACTATCCCTGTTATCCTCCTCCTGCCTGAAACCAAGAACCGGCCCCTGCCTGACTCCATCCAGGAAGTGGAGAACATGTGAGTCTCCCCGCTGTGGCTTCCTTGGGGACTGTGAGTTACTGACCAGGGATGAGGAAGGAGGAACATGCGTGAGACCAGGTCACTGTGCCCCCACAGGCCTGGTCCTGAGCTACCTGCATGGGTCAGTGCCTGAGGTTTCAGAATCTCCTCTCCCGCCCCACAGTGACATCACAGCACGTTCCCCCTCCCACCCACCCCCAGATCCTCTTGTCCACACACCCCTCTGCACAGACCTGTCAGTTTAGAGGCCAAGAGCCCAGCACAGGGTGCCCGCTGTGGTAGGTATCCAGGGTGAGAGTGGAAAGTGCCAGAGCTGCCCGGACCCTGGCCTGCATCTGGGGCTTCTTCAGCCAATTAACTCCCACACTCAGGGCGGAGGCCACACTTGTGCCAGAGCTGGCTCTCAAGAATGAAGGACATATGTGCTTGTTTGATGTCTTTCCATTTTTTTGTGTTAATTTGTTTTTTGGATTCATTGTGTTTTTAGCAGGAGTAAAGCATCAAGAAAAACAAAGCAGGATGTTACCTCCACGAAAGTGACACAGTTTTAAGGAATTCCAGGAACTGCTGATCAAAGAGCTAAATAAAGGAAGAAACCAAGATAATGCCTAGATATGAGGAAAATTAGAAAAATAAATAAAAACAAAAACATATAGTGGACAAAGTGAGCCCTTTCTTCAAGTACAGTTCTAAATTATGAAATAGAAAATGACTGTGATTGATCATAATAAGAAATGTGAAGAAAATCATATTTTAAAAGGACTTAGAATATTTGTGTAATTGTAGACAGGTAGCTAGTATTTTTTTTAATAGAAAGCCTGAATAGTACTAAAATATAACAATTCTTCCCCCAGTTAGATGGAATAATCAACATACTAGTCACAACGAAAAAGCACATAATTTTGAAAGAATTAGAAAAAATAGCTATTGTTTACCTAGAAATAAACGGTAAACAAAAAACATGGTGTGCATGCTGGGGAGAGCTGTTTACCGTGGGGTGACATAAGCTGGACTTTATTTTGTAGCCATGATAGTCAAAAAAGTAACCACAGATGTGTTTACATATCAAAGGAAGTTCAGAAACAGATTATAGTAGATGCTGCACCTCCTCCTGCAGTGACCTCTAGGAATCCCTAGGTCCGGCTGGACAACCAGCGCGCAGGAGGAGAACAGCAAAAACCGCCTGAAGACATAGATAAGACGGAAGCTTGTTGAAAGATAACGACCACCAGGAGCCACTACAGGAATGCTGTCCGCACGGAAACTTATCTCACCTTCTCTAGACCCACAAACTTTATTCTAATACAACTGTCTCTCTAAAATCTTTTCTCTTTCTCTGTTTAAAAGGTCATTGGTTTGCCGATTAAAAAAGAACATATGAAATCTAATAACTAGGCTGATTCAAATGAAACGTTACTAAACTCTGTGTATTAATAGAACTGCTAGCTTAATAATTTCTCTGTTGTATACTTAGCCTAGTTTGTATTAATCTAAATGATAAAAATATTACATTGTGAAAAGTAAAATTCACCCGTGTTAATTAATAGTAATAGTGAGTAGTTAAAACAAAAAGTAATCATATAAAACAAAAAGAAAAATTAATAGCCTAACTACTTAGGAATGCGCCTGGGTCCAGATGTAAATCACTGCCCTGTCAATGATAAGCTAAACCTATAAGCAAGCTGATTTCTTCACTGATGTTTGCCATTCCTATGCTTTTAGAAAACATATATATACTGGTCACCAACTCAAATAAAATTACACTCAGATTTTCACTCTTGAAGTGTGTCTGTTTGTCATTTCTTTAACCGAATCCCTGACCACCCTGCGCAGTCTCTCAACCCTGAGACAGCCTCATCGCTCACTGCTGTGCTGGTCCGCGGCAAGTAGACATATCTCTGAATAATATAATTTTATCATCAGAAATCACTAGACAAGATAAAGGATTATGCAACAAATAGTATAATGATTCAAAAGTAAATAACTAATCATATGATTTCATACCCTAAACCAAAAAAATACTCTACTTGGATAAGGAGTTATATAGACCAAATAAACCACAATTTTAAATAGAAAACTTGCCTACAAAATCTTGATGTAAAACTATGTTCTGAATAGTAAGGCTTATGACAGAAATGTAAAGATGGATATTTTTGACTAATACTCATGTAAAACCTCTGTTGGAAAAACCTTAACAATCTATCAGAGAAGACCAGAAAATATATTCACCAAATTACTTTTTTTTTTAAATGGTTAGTTTTCAGCACAGAACTTACAGTAAACATAGTAAAAAGTGTTCACACCCTTCTTTGCAAGGTTCAAGAAAGTTGAAGCAAGGAATATGTAAATTGCCAAAATAGTATAAGATGTAAATTAGAGCAGAAATAAATGAAGTAGAAGTCAGACCAACAGTTCAAAAGATCAATGAAGCTACAAGTTGGTTCTTTGAAAAAAATAAACAAAATAGACACACGCCTAGCTAGACTCCCTAAGAACAAATGGGAGAAACTCTAATGAGTAGAATCAGAAATGAAAAAGAAGTTACTACAGACACCTGAGCAGTACTGAGGATCACAACAGACTGCTATGATTACTATCTTTATGCCAACAAATGGTAAAATTGGGTAGTAGTGACCAGTTCTTAGAAGCGTACAACCTTCCAAGACTGAATCAGGAAGAAATAAAAATCCTGAAAGACCTAGGAAGTTGAAACAGTAATTAAAAGCTTCCCCCAAAACAAAAGCCCAGGATCAGTTGGTTTTACTAGTGAGTCCTCCCAAACCTGCAGAGAGCCCCAACAGGCAATGCGGCGATTTCTCCATCAATTGCTCCATCTCTCGGTAAATACGGCGCCATCTGCCTGAAGGCTCTGACTCATGAGACCTACTCTGTTGGAAAATGCTTCAAAGAGGCCAGCGCCTTTCCCTGGCCCTTCCAGTTTCCCTCTCTATGAGGTGGAATGAAGAAGAAAGCCACCATTTTGTAGAAGGTGGACAAACTCTCAACAGGGAAGACCAGATCAAAGGATCCTTAGAAGGATGGACGAAGGTGTCCCCCAGGATTGTTTTTGTAATCTGATCAGTTAATGAACAGTAACTGCTTTCCAATCGAAATGTGAAAAATAAGTAAATACAGACACAGAACATGTCTGTGTGTCACATGCAGCATTTTTTCCCCCCCAGCTCAGAGTAAGATGACTTTTGGTTCATCGGAGCATAAAAAACAGTTTCTGGAACCAAACAGACTTTTGTTTGTGTTCTACTAGCAACAGGGTCAGCTCACCTATGCAAACAAAGGAGGGCTTGGAGAAAATGATATTGGGGGAGCTTGGAAAATAAAAAGGGGACCTGAAGGACCAGGTCCCAGGGAGGCAGGGAGGAGGGCATTTCTGGAACTGAGCAGCAGGAATCCAGAGTATCTAAAACAGCTCAGCCCCAACAAGATCTTCAGCCTGGATCTTCTGCCAAGTTTCAAATTGTCAGCAGAGACTTGTTTGCACAGAATGAGCCTCCAGCAACCCCAATGTTTCCCATCCCTGCCTCCCTCACCACGAATGATTAACCCAAAGGGCAGAGACACCCCATTAAGACAGGTCAGTCTAGTTCTAGTTCATCCACAAGTCAGGGATAAATGGCACGGGTTCTTTCTTCTCTGCATAAACACTCTTCCCTCATTTCTGCCCACAGGAGACTAAGATATTTGGAGGAAGCTAATATGAGGGGAGCAACTTTGTCTTTCATGCACTCGAGCCTCACACAGGCTGCTATAACATTTACTCAGCACTCTGTTCCTGCCCAGTTTTGCCTCTTGCTGCTCTTCATATGTCTATGGAAGAACATTCCAAACTACCTTGCAATTCTGATCCCACCCATCAATCAGGCAGCCCAGCCTGGTGGCGCTGCCTTCTCTGACCATCTGGCAGAGGCTGTGCACTTCCAGGTGACATTTTTTTAGTACTTTTATCTATATAAGTTAAAAGCTACCTTCTGTCTGTATGTTAAAAACATCACAAAAAACTCCTGCATGGATTGCACTAAATTTGAATTTTATTTTGGGGGTGGCCTGATGTAAACAATAAACCCATCAGAGGCCCACAATGATCTCTGGGCTGTGGCTCTGTAAGAGCAGCAGGGTCAGAGCCCACAAGTAAGCAAACGTCAGAGAAATCCATGTGATTTCAAACATAACTGAAATATAACCTCATGCGGAGAGACCCAGACACAAATTATCTGATTTAGGGGTTTCTCACAAGGATGAAGCCTGGAAGTGAACCCAGGTGGAGAAGCATAAGAAACTGATTTATTAAAGAAATGCAATGATTTCCCTGAGAAACACTACTCGTTTATAGAAATGGGTAGAAAATGTAAAAATGAAAGAGCTGGTATTTAGTAAAAAAGAAACATAGGGTCGGAAAATTACTGCTGAGGCAAAGAAGAAAATGATCAGGCATTCTTGAAAAAGAGAAGCCTTTTTTGCTTACATTAGATATTTTGGTCTAAACCAGAAGACTCTGTAGATAATGCAAAGAGAAAGGCTCTATTTCAAAATAATGCTACAACATCATCAACTATGCACCCACAAGGCCTGGGTATCTAGCAGTGTTATATGTTCTATTTTGATGCAAAGTAAGATCTTTTCAAGTAAGAACTGATATTTTCTCTGGCCCCAACTACACACACACACCCCACTTTTCATTTAATTTCTTCACTTAAGATGCCAGGGCCTCCACTTACACTTATGATCTCAGCATAATTATTCAATGTCCCCTTTTCACAATCAAAACTGCCTCCACTTTTGATAGGCAAACAATACACTAGCAGAAAGAGAAATGATGAAAACAGTATCATTTGAGATCACAGCAAAAAGTCTAAAATATCTAGGAATAAATTTAGCCAAAGAAGTGAAGGAGCTGTACAGGTTTGGGTTTCTTTACATTTTTATTTTTTCAGATGTAGGATTTGTAAAGGTTTTATCGCCTTCTGGAGGTTGTCTCTTTTTTTACCCTCCCCCATCATTGTTTATTAATATCTACCAATTTTAATAAGTATAGTCATCTACTATGTAAGTGTCCAATATCTGTCTTTGTCATTCCGGCTTTGCTTTATTGCACGTAAGTCCCCTGAACTTCTTCCATTTTGCTGTAAATGGCATCATTTCGCCTTTCCTTGTGACTGAATAGAATTCCATTGTGTGGATGCGCCACATCATCTTGATCCAACCACCTACTGGCAGACACTTGGGATGTTTCTAAGGCCTCACTCTTATAGTGTTGCAATAAATGCTGTAGCGCATGTAGGTTTTTGAGTGGGTATCTTCTTTGGAGAGGTGCCCAAGAGTGGGATTTCATTTTCAGTTTCTTAAGGTAAATCCAGATTGTTTTCTACAATGGCTGTACCAGTTTCCATTCTCACTAACAGTGGAATAGGGTTCCCCTTTCCCTGCATCCTCCCACCTTTGTTGTTGGGGTCTTTTAATCTGTGCTACTCGACCAAGTGTGAGATGATGTGTCCTTGTGGTTTTGACCTGTGTGTACAGGTTTCTAATAACACTTTTGGAACTGCCCCATCCCTCCCCCCATCTGCAGTGGAAGGAACTGCCCCACCCACCCCCATCTGCAGTGCGAAGTATGTTCTGGCTCTCAGATGGGCAATGGCTGTCCAGGAGGTGGCCTCCACCCTACACTCCACTGTGACAGCGTCTCACTGACCTCTTCTCATTCCTGACCACTGCTTGTGGGTTCAGGCAAAGGTGAGGGGAGCCAGGGCTTGCACTTGGTCGACACTGAAAATGTTTGTTGAATGAACAAATGAACATAAGCCCTGATGTGTTCCTGGTGGTCTCTACCTCCCTGGGTTCAAACTGGAAAGTCGCCAGAGGAGTGTGTCCCTGTCTGAAAGGTAAGCAGTGGAGGGAGGAGACCTTTGTGAGGCAGTTACCAAACACTCACTGGCAATGGGGATCGGTGTTGTTCTGGCTATAGATGAACATGGCCTGTGAGTTCAAAGTCATCTTCAGACCAAAGGGATCATTAATACATAACAGAGGTGGTTGAAAGTGAAGTGAGAAATCTAGATCATATAATGAATCGAGAAACTGAAGGGAGAAGTACTAGGGACTGTTTCTGTGGGTGATGGGAGTTACTTGGGGAAGCAGGGGGAGGGGTGAGGGCATCCACTAACTACCAGCACCCAGAACTCCCACACAAAGCAGACAGACCCCTCAGGAAAGGCAGACGGAAAACCATCAAAGACACACCCCGATTCCCACGTCCAGGAAACAGCTGGGGAGTCCAGTTTGAATCACCCAGGAAAGGATGAGGAGGGGAAAATGAAGTTTCATGTGTAGGTCTATTTTCTCCAAACAGGAGAGAGGCTCTTGGGAGACCCTAAGATCTTATGTGAGATGCTTTGGGGGCTCTATCCTGCTCTCTTCCACACTCCTCCTGCCTCCCAAGCAATGAGAGCCCTTGGGTGACTTCTGTTCGTCCTGGCACTACCCATCTGCAGCCGTAATCTCAGGCCTCCCACCGTGACATTCTTCAAACACAAGGATCACTCCCTCCTCTCCCTCAGGGGCTGACCATATTGTTTTAAGAATTCAACTGAAATCGGTGACTATAAAAAATTCAAATTTTCTAGTATTTATAAAGTAGAAAAGCAAAATAACTGGTCTTGCTGATTATGCTTTAACTTGGGGCTGCTTTAACTTGATGCATAACTTTAAAAAGAAAGTATTTCTTGGGCGAGATGTTCCTAGGTTAAGGCGCAGCTGGCCTGAACAGTTGCAGGCTTCCGTGGACGCCTCCTCCTTGAGTCCCTCTGTGGGCCTAAAAGCACAGGACCAGGGTGAGTGGGGATCAGGCATCAAGACAAAAAGAACTTCTGAAAAAAGCTCCACATCACTGGGAACACTGATGCCGACGCTGCTGGTGGGGTCTAGCCTGTGAAACACGCAAGGCCCCTTCCCAAAGAGAAAATAAAGCTAAACAAGCCTGTGAAATGTTTAGCACCTACCACACACGCACAATAGAGTGGGATATTCCCACGGAGAATCCACAAGTCTGTGGTCACATATATGGGATGTATTTCCAGAAGGGTAATTGGATGCATTCTAGACTCTTCCAGAAGCTCATAATTTTCTTACATGGGGCCATTGAGAGGAGAAGGCAAGGGGTGGGCAGACAGTTCTCTTTGCTGGGGTCAACAGCGCTTCCTCTGCCTGGACTTGCGGGGGCTTCAGGTGGTCAGGGCTTTGGGCCTGATGCTGTCCACCACGGCAGAAATCACGGCGCCCGCGGCCTTGGCGCCTTCCAGCAGGGCCTGCTCTACCTGCAAGGCAGGCCAGCCACGGGTGCTCAGTGTCCCTCCTCGGCTTGCACCGCCATCCCCCTCCCTCACCACTCCCTGTCGGGGAAGGGCCTGGAGTCTGTTCTGTGAGAAGCAGCAGCCGCTGCTACCCTCCTCTGCAAAGGCAGGAGAGCCCGAGAAAGTGGAGCAGCCTGAGTGGCCGAAGGGTCTGCCTGGGGCTCCGGGAGAGGTCACCGAGACCCTACATACCGGCAATCTGGGGGGGGGGGGAAGATGGGGGGGCACTCAGTGGACAGTCAAGGCTGAATTAGTGTCAGAATCAGCCCTTGGGCTCGTTCTGAGAAAACCTCCTTAGGCGATTTGGTCCCAGTGGGGGCCTCATGGGGGATAAAGACCCGGACCTAGCAGGCAGATCCTGGGACACACCCCTGCTGTGAGGGATCCCCCCTCATCAAGCCCCCCCTTGCATACGGGGCGCCTGTGAGCTGCAGCCCGGCTCTCCGGTGCGGGAGGTGGGGACACCGGGCCTCACCTGCTGGCTGCGGGACACGCCGTAGCGGAGGCCGGTGACGAAGTGCTCGCAGTTGCCCTCGATCAGGTTGTACTGCACCATCTTGTTGACCATGTTCTTCGTGCGCTGGATGATGGTGTCCACGGGCAGCGGCAGGTACGTCCTGTCCAGCTTGTTGTTGACTTTCCACGAGCAGCCGTGCAGCACGTCCTCCAGGCGGCTGTACCTGACCACCGCGCGGTTGCTGAACACCGACGTGATGCTGCCCGCCAGGAACTCCTCGCCTGCGGCCAAGGAAAGCGCGGGTGGGGGAGGGGGAGGCGCAGTGGGCGCACCCGGAGCCGGTGGAGGGCCTGGCCACTGGCTCGGCTTCTCTTGGAGTCTGGGTTTCCTCCAAAGGCAGGACAGGGCATGGGGTGTCGGAGTCACTGAATCGCCCAGAACCAAATGCACCGAGAAGGCTCCTCCCTGTGCGCATCCCACAGCAAGGGCCTGTTTGTGAACCTCCAGGAGCCCCCTAGGTCGTGGCCGGACTCGGTTCTGCACTCTGCTGACCCCGCCAAGTCCTGGAACTGGGGTCTTGTCTTCCTAACCAGACACCAGGGCCATCTTCACTGTCTTCACAAAGCCTGACCAGCACCCCTTGGGGGGAGTGGCAGTTCCTGGGAGAGGAGCTCTCTGGGGACTCCCCCAGCAGGGGCACCTGCTCAGGGAGGCAGGCCCATGGGCTCCAGAGGGTGCCCACCCCCTCCCACCAGCTTCCACCCCAGCCACTTGCTTTCCCTGCTCAAATATCAGAGTGTTCATCAAAACACACTTGGGGGTTGTTTGAAAACAGGGTTCCACTGCTTTGAAACTAGAAACGTTTTGAGAGCTGCTGTATTCAGTCCTTAGAGGAGACAGGGGTGGGAGAGAGCCAGGAACCCGGCCGGGGCCAGGACTGCGTTTCTGCCACCGCCACAGAGCTGGGCAAGGTGAGGCCTCGCCCTTTGGACACTGTCTGCAAGCAGACCTGTCCCCGGAGCTCTGTTTCGGGGGGTGAAGAATAGCTGCCGAGTACACAGACGCAGCAGGCATGCAGCTGCCAGGACAGAGGCGGCAGAATTCACTTTAAGAGAAAAATCTGATGGGGAAGGAGGGACCAAAGCTCTCTTTGTTGAAACAAGGGGCGAGGGTGTCTGGGCACAGTGAGGTGGAGATGAATGGGGTGAGGCGTGGCCCCTCTGTGGGATCCTCAGAAACAGAGAAGGACACTGAGCTGTTGTCAGTACAGAATGGACCTCAGGCCACTACATTTGTACTTCGAGAGAAAGGGCGGCTGGGGTCAGGGAACCCGGGGACTCTACCCTTAGACCGTGGGGTAAATTAGGGTCAGGAAGGCCGGGGTGCTTCACAGCTCAGGCAGCAGCACTCTCTGCTGTGCTGACTCCAATCATCCCCACGGCGACAAGGGGTCCACACTCACTTGGGGGAGCCAGGTGGACCACACAGTCGTCCTCCACATAGATGGCCCAGTGCTCATAGCCAATTCGAAAAATCTCAATCAGGTCTCCGGGTTGGGGTGCTGGTTTGCTCTGTAACAGATTTAGAAACAGCAGCAAGGTAAAGACACTGACGCCCCAGGGACTCGAGACACCTGGTTGGGGGATCAGCAACAGACTGGAAAAATCTCCCCTCTCACCAGGGACCCAGGAGCCTCCCCCCATCCTCTGCCTCTCCCCACTCCCGCCAGGAGCCTCCTCTTCCTCCTCCCTCCACTCTGAGCATAAAAACCACTGAGGCCAACTGGAAATGACCCAAGTGCCCATGAATAGGTGATGGATGAACAGTGGAATGTCCACTCAACGGGCTACTGTTCAGTATCGAAAAAGAATGCACTGTGTGCAACATGTCACATGCATAGAACACAAAGTAACTACATGGAAATAGGTAAAAGGAGATGGACCTCCCCCAAAAGCAAATACAATGTGATTCCATGTATATGAACTTCTAGAAAATGCAAACTAGTAAATGGAGGCAAAACACATCAGCTGTTATCTGGGGGTGGGGGGTGGAAAAGGGAGAGATTGAAAAGGAGAGCAAAGGAGGATTCGCAAATGAAGTCCTATTGGTTATCCTGGTTGGGTGATGGGTTTGTGGGTGTGCGCTTATGTCAAGACCTATCAGATCATCTGTTCTAAATTTGTGCAATTTATTATATGCCAATTATAAGGGTGTTATACCTCAATCAAGTTCAATAAATGGCTCCAAAAATCGTGTTTTAAACATTAAAGAAGCATAAGCAACATCCCAATCAGTGTGCGGTTCAACTTGCCACATGGTCTAAATAAAGTAAATCACAGGATATAGAGAAGTCCCCAGGGAGGCTAAAGATATGCAGTCTAAGAATTCTGGGGTACCCACCTCCGCAGCCTGCTTTACTGACTTGCCGGCCCCCTCAGGCTTGGGTGTTGCATCGCACTCTCCTTTCTCATTGGCTGTGGTCTCCAGGGTAGCAGCTGGCTTCTCCCTAGGAGAATTGTGCAATCAGGACACAACTAACACTCTTGCACAATTGCTGGAAATCCGTATTACTCCAGACTGGGAATCTATGATAACTTTCAGTTCTGAAATTCTAGGAAACCTCTCCCCACAAGCTTGTTTCTGTGACACCATTAGCTGTCATATAAAATAACTGTTGAGGGACCTCCCTAGTGGCACAGGGGTTAAAGACACAGTGCTATCAAGCTATCAGCATGAGTTCAATCCCTAGCCAGGGAGGTGACCCACTTGGCACAGCAGACCTCTCCTGTCTCCCCGCTGCTCCCCTCAGCAGTGTATTTCAGTCGATCTGCCTGTTCTGCTCCCCACTTTCTCTGGTGAATCCTCTCTTACCCCTTACCCCTCTTGCCTACATCCCAGTTCTTGTGTGTATAAGTAAATAAATCTTTAAAAATAAAATAACCATTGAATGGTTTTCTGGCAATTGTTTAAAATGCTCATGGTAGCAATGACTAGTTTCCAGGGTTGGGGGGCAATTTATTGGTTTTGCTAACAATCTTTCCTATATGGTATCAAAGTGATATTTGTATGCAGCTTTTTTTTTTTTTATAATAGTGACAGTACAAAATGACTTACAATGAAATGCAATCAGTCCCTGCCCCTTCCCTTCTGCCACAGTCCTTTCCCAGCCCTGCTGCTCCCCTTGGTATCTTGAACTGCCTCTTCCAATAATTAGCTCCACATTTCTGGAAAATCATGTTAAGCCGCAAGAAGACTGCTCAGGTCTGCAAGCAATGGGAGAGAGAAGGGCCTATTCTGTCCCGTGAAAGAAAATGCCATGGGCGAGGCGTGCTTCTGGTGCAGAGCCAACAGGAATGCATCGGGGCCATGAAGATGTGGGCTTGAGTCCTGGCTCTGACACTTGCTGTCCAGCCTTGAGCTAGTAAGTTCCCAGGGGTCTGAGCCTCAGCTTAATGATCTGTAAGCTAGAGGTGATAATATCTAGAGCACAGAGTTATCAAGAGGGGGGCTTCCCCGTGCCACTCCCTTCTCTGGTCCTAGGGCTACAACCCACAGCCACACAGCCCTCCCACCCCCAACCCCCTCTGGCCCAGGCCTTGTTACTAGCAGGCCCACACCCGCCTTCAGCAAACTGGTTGGTGGTGGGCTGGTTGGCACAGAAACACCTCAAGATTTGTTTTTCAGACCTGCCAGCAGAGGCAGTGATGAAGACCGACCTGTCCCCACAGGAATCTTACCCCTGCTGGGCGCTTCTGCCCTGCTCAGTCGGGCCCTGCGGAGGCTGCTTGGGTGAGAACTGGGCCAGCGCCTGCGATGCCTCGGAGTCTTCTAATTGAAGGAGGGAGGAATATTATTTTAACCTCAATTGCCTGCCATGGAGGATGAACCCCATGCCAGGAGAGTCTGAGCGAGCACCTTGACTGCCATACCCAGGTGGGTGAGCTCTAGCCTGGGCAGGTGGTTCCGGAAAGCCTGCAATGCAGGCTCCGTCAAGGGGTTGTGGGACCTGCTTAGAGAAGGCTCAGTTCCTTGGAGACTTTGGGATTCCCCTGCACAGCTGGGGAGGATGAAGTCAGAGTTGCCTCTGTTCTGGAGGAGAGAAACCTTGGGGCTGAGGCTTCCTCAGAGGCAGAGCCTTCTCAGCTCCCTCCCGGTGGGGGAGGCCATTGCTCCTGTAGGCCCTGGAGGGTGGACACCAGACACTGCCGCTGGGCGCCTGGCTCGCCTAGACTCGCGGCAAGCGATCATTTCCATCATTTCGGAAACGTGCGCTCATTCCCAACAACCATCGCCTGCTCGTCACATATCTACGACCCAGAGCCTTAGAGGCATCTATGGCGACTTTCCGGGGATCAGGCGGTGGGGTGCCCGGGAGAACTATTCAGAAGGACTCCAGGCCAGGACGTGGTGGCTTGATGGGGAGGGGCTCCATTCCTGGGGCGACCGTAGGGTGGGGGGGGAATAGTTGAATGTCAAGGAGGGGTTGGTGGTTGTCCGCCCACTTACCCGCCGTCCTCAAGGAGAGGCGGAAGCGGGGTAACCTCGCAAGGCGGAGCCCGCCCTCCCCCGTGGCGCCGGGGCTCAGACCCATGGGCTGCTGCGGTGGCCCCGCGGGTCCAGGCCTCTCAGAGGACAGCGCCGGCCAGTGCCCAGGTGGCGCAGCCTCAGGTCAGCGGAGCCGCGGGGTGGAGGTCCAGGCGGCAGCGCTGTGAGGAGCTACTGGGGGGGAGCGAGGAGGCGCGAGGAGGGGAAGCCGGGGCACGGGGCCAACGGCAGGTGCGTGAGGCCAGAGGCGCGCGGGGTGACCGGCCCCGCAGAGGGTGACCAGCGGCTGAGCACGTCCAGTGAACAGAGGGGTGCTTGAAGGTCCAGGAACCGGGGGGCCTGTGGGGGAGAATACTGGGAGAGGAGGCGTAGGGGATTCACCTGGAATGGAAGGGAACGCAGAACCGGACGCGCGAAGGCCAGGGGGTGGCACCTGACTCGCGGAGACCTGAATGTGATGGAGCGGACCGACGTGGACCCGACGGACAAATGACATCTGGAGAGTGGCCGAGGCCAGAAGAGTTAAAATCGTGAGGCAGGAGTTAAAATCGTGAGGGATTTTTGGGCCTCCCTGGTGGGGAGACCACAGCCACTGCAGCAGGAGTTGGATCCCTGGCCGGCCAGGGAGCTACCCACAGGGTGCAACCCACAGGGTGCAACAGACCTCTCCTGTCTCGCCGGCTGCTCCCCTCGGCAGTGCATTTCATCTGCCTGTTCTGCTCCCCACTCTGTCCCTGGTGAATCCTTTCACCCCCCCCCCACCTCTGGCCTGTACCCCAGCTCTTGTGTGCATAAATAAAATAAATCTTAAAAAAAATCGTGAGGGATTATTGTAAGAATTCTTGTTGACGTAAGTTCCACCAGCGCTGGGTACTGTCCTACTTAACTTTTCCAGGTGAATGCAAGCAAAGTAGTATGCATGACGTTTTCACTGCCACAGATCACTAGGAAGGTTGAGGCCTTTGCATATATCAATTAAGTCACCCAGTCTAAAACATTTTGTTATGGCAGCCAGAGCAAACTAAAATATCCTCCCTCCAGGCAGGAACTGAGGCTGGGATGGGAGTGGGGCACAGGGGCCATGGCTTATGGCCACATGGTTGGAGGCTGGGACCAGGGCCCAGATGGGCTCCATGGACCTGCCCAACCGGTTTCTCCACCTTTGTTTTCTCCTCCCACTGTGTGTATAGATTATTCTTTCTGAACACACCTCTGGTCAGATTTCCCCACATAAAGCACCTTCAGCAGCCCAGTCCCAACTACCCAGCAAGATCTCAACAAACTCCGGTCTCCTGGCCCCAAGCTGTACCAGCCAGGACCCAAGTCAGAGCTTCTCAAACATCAACTGGCAGCAGAATCGCCCAGAGCTCCCCAGGCACTGCCAGCAGAGCTTCCTCTTCAATGGGCCTGGGGTGGGGCCCCCAAATTTGAATTCCTGATGAACTTTCAGGGATGCTGATGCTGACCTGGAGAGGCCTCTCCCCAGACCCATTAGTCTCCCCCCCATCAAAGGACAGCTCACTGCCCCCCCCCCCCCCCCAGGGCCAGGCACTGGAGCCTCTGCCCGCCTGGTCTTGCCAGGGATTCCCTGCTGCCAAGTCTGACACTGTGTTCAGAGTTGATGAGATCTCCCAACTAAGGATAAAGTTGACAGGTTGTGCTACTTTTTAAAGGGGAAGCCTTACTGGAATTTGAAGCAGAACTGCATCGACTCTAGTGCAAGCTCATGGGGAAGCTTGGTAAACATGCAGATGTCTGGATCACCCCCAGATACAGACCTCTCTGGAGACCCTCTGATGTGGCATCCCCTGGCATGTACAGATGTGCGAAGGGAGCCCAGAGGAGGGGAGTGACACGTCCCAGAGTACATAGAGCCCAGGCAGGGGAGAACCAGGTCTTTGTGGGTGCCGCTGTGTGCCCCCCACCCCCACCCACTGCCTTTGTCCTTTTGCTCTCCTCTCTCCCTCCCTTTTCTCCTTTCCACCCCACTTTTTGTGACCCCCACTGGGCCCTGGCATTTGCCACTGAAGCTGAAATGGAGTCCCCAGGGAGACTATAAAACTTGCAAAAGCTAGAAGAGTGGGGGAAGAGGCAGGGGAATAAGGGAAGGAGAAAACCTCTGTGGGGAGCAGAGGAGGAGCCTGAGGCGCACTCAGCAGTGAATGGGAGGCTGTGGCCAGGTCAGTGGCTGCCGGTGGGTGGGGAGCCTCCAGGAACCTGAGGTGTGGGGCCAGGGGTCTCTGCCCACCCACCCCTGCTGCCTTCGGCGTTAGGACCCTGCAGGGCACAGGTAGCACTATCAGCTGGGAGAGCTGTGCCGGGCACTTAGGATCCGGTTGGGAGAGGTGAGTCAGTCCAGAGGGGGCAGGGCCCCTGGAACCAGGATCTGCAGCCTGAGTTGAGGTGAGCCACTGCCCATGGCACCTGGAGAAAAGCTGGATCCTCTTCCAGACCCCTTCATCCTGCAGCCGCCTGCCTTCCACCCGGTGAGCCGCCCCTTCCACCGGGAACCACCTAGGTCTCAGAGCTCTTCCCTTCCAGCTGGCCCAGACCCCACGTGGGAGTGGAGAGGGCCTCAGCCTAGCGCCTTCTTTCCCTAGCACCTGAAGATCTGAGTTGAGCTGAGCATCTGAACTTGGCAAGTGGCCGATGGGCATCTGGGTGGATGACTCTTAGGCTCGCAGGGTCCTTGCATTTTAAAAGTAGAGCCTGGAGACCCAGCCCCTGCTTAATGAAGGGTGATTCAGAGGCTTGAGGGGGGCTATGGCACTGGGGGAGACAGTGATGACTTAGGAAGGGCCATCTGCTCTCCCAGGAGAGCTGGTTACAGCACAGTTCTTGTCAGGCCTGGTGCCTGGAGATGGGAGAGGCTGAAGTTCTGAGCTAGGACCGGGGCTCTCCCTCACCTCCCTGGGTGCCTGAGTGCTGAAGACCAGCCTCGGCAAAATGCCGTGTCAGGAGTCCCTGAAAGGATGAGACGGAGTCAGCGAGAAAACTTAAGGGCTAAGGGGAAGGGGATGAGGTAGTGAAGAGACACTGACACTTGATGAGGTGCAAGTATCTTCTGCTGAGGGACTCAGCAGATCTTTATTAATTTTTTGCAAGCAGTGAGATGACATCATCATATGCACAGAAGCAAAGCAGAAACAATCAGTACGTTCTTTTCCCATAGACTTTTGGCTGCTACACGCTCTCAGCAAGAAGGCAACCTTCAAGGTTAATAGATAAAAAACTAAGCCTTACACTGAAATTCATTATTTCAGTTCAGACAGTTACCTAGGACAGTTGATAGCCGTTGGTACATTCCTATCAGCTAAAGCCTAAGCATCAAAAGATTCTTCTTATTCGCATGGCCTTCAGCTGGAGACCAGCTGCTTTCTGGTTATCAGCTAACAGGGTTTTCTACCTAGAAGCTTTTTAACACAATTAACTTCATTTAAAAACTTTCCTAAGAAACTTCTAAAAAAAGCAAAAGAAGGATTTACTATAATTGTTGTGCTGGATTGCTTGCCAGGCATGTTCATGTATAACAATTATTTCCCATTGTCAGGCAGGCCAAATTTACAGTGAGTAATTTTTGAGCAGGTATTTCTTTGTGCCATTTACTTACAGTATTCTGTACATATAATTTATTACCCAATGTACTTTCCGAGACTTTTTTCTTATGTGACCAAGAACAAAAAAACAAAGAGATGCTTATAGGTCATAGATTAATCTTCAGCCCCACGGTGTGAGGCTCTTTGAGCTTCAGCCCCACAGTGTGAGGCCCTTTTTCTTAGCTGCTTGCCAGTGTCTTATCTGGCTGTGGCAGCAAGGCCCCCCACCCCAGCACCTGAGTAATGGGAGAAGCAGCCGCCCCATTTGCAGCCGCTTCTTGCTCTGCAGGCTGCAATCTCCCAGCAGAGGGTAGCACTGCGGGGGCTCAGCTCTTCCTAGGTGGCTTGGGCTACTGAAAGCTGCTGGAATTTGGAGATCCAGGAAGCCTGAGGTACTGCCCAGCGCGCACCTGCTCACGGCCCACACCCACTCTGCTACACCTGCTCAGAACCCTCTGGCACTCAGCTGCGCTGAGCCTACAGAGGACGGGTGTGGCCTCCCCACATTAACAGCCCCGGTTTCCCGGCAAGGACCCGGCAGACCAGACAGTGGAGTGTTCTGGAGCATGGGAGGGAAGGAACAAGTCAGACACCAAAGTCCATGATGGAGAAGGTGTCAGAGATGCCAGAGCCTTGAAAGTCAAGCTAGATTTCATAGAGTGGAGGGAGAGTGGGGCTCAACCCCACCAGGTAGGGAGCTGTGCAGCATGTATTGTGTGGGGTGCCTGGCAGCTTCGTGGGAAAGGTGAGGCTGAAGGCAAGCTGGGCCACGGCTGCGCGTCCCCCAGGCATGTGCACGAGGGCTGCTCTCCAGGCCCAGCTTGTCCATCCTCCGCCTCCCGGGTCCCAGGTTCTGACCAATAAATGGCCCTCAGGAAGCCTTCTGGAGGTTGGGGTGGCACCCTGTGGACACAGAGACTCACTGGGGACACGGTTGCACCCTTGGAGCTGGGAGAGAGGCTGAGCTGGTGACCCGGGCTCAGGGACGGGGATGGAACATTTCAAGGAAAATGAATTTCTTTCCCGATAGGACATTTTTTATTTCAGGCACAAGAACTGAGTTTTCTTCTTCTCTTCCCTCCCCCCAGCCCCAGCCTGGGGTCCTGACCCTTTTCCACCCGTGTGGGGGCGGCTTTCTCCCCATCCAGGTGGTTCCCTATGTCACGACAATCTTCGGTGGCCTGCGTGCCGGCAAGATGGTCCTGCTCCAGGGAGAGGTGCCTCTGGATGCACGCAGGTAAAGGGCACCCCGGGGGGCTGGTGCTCAGCCGAGGCACCCCACTGGGGGCTCTGAGCGGAGGTGCCCATGGAAGGCCTCCCCTCCCGCCAGGTTCCAGGTGGACTTCCAGTGCGGCTGCAGCCAGCACCCCCGGCCGGACATCGCCTTCCACTTCAACCCTCGCTTCCACACCACCAAGCCCCACGTCATCTGCAACACCCTGCGCGGTGGGCGCTGGCAGGCCGAGACCCGGTGGCCGCGCCTGGCCCTGCAGAGAGGAGCCGGCTTCCTCACCCTCTTTCTCTTTGGAGACGAGGATGTGAAGGTGTGTGGGAAGGAAGGGTCGGTGCCTCAGCTGCGCCCTCCCGCCTCCTCCAAATACACCCCGTCACCGTGTTGAGGGGCAGGAGCGGAAAGTCCAGCACAGAAGGGGTCAAGGGGCCGCCAAGCCCAGTTCCAAGCGGCCCTGGGCCTGCGTGCCCTGGTACACACGGCGGCACGAAAGCTGTCTGGTGGCGGGGCCTGGAGGGGCCAAGAGCTCTTGGCGGGGCCGAGCACCCGTAAAGTGCTTGGCACTGTTCTGGCATCAGCTCAGGGGTCCCCACGAGCACCCAGGAGGCGGGCGCTTCATTCTCCCCTTCTGACAGCTGAGGGCCAGAGGACAGGGAGCGAGAACTTGGCCTCTGTTGTGAATTCCTGCCAGAGAGATGACAAAGGGTCTTCAGACTTCTGGGCGGGGACAGGCTTGGTGGAGCTGCCAGGAGGGAGGGGCGGTGGGGTAGGGGCTCACACAGCCACCTGAGCCTGGCCCCCTCCCCTGGGATGGGGGTGCAATGGGGAGGTCTGCTGAGGATGAGAGACACGTGGGGTGCTGTGTCAGGGTCAGCGAGGGCACTGGGGGGTTCCTCAGTTCCAAGACCAGGTCTGTAAAATTGGGAAGGTCACTTTAGCCCCCCCAAGCCTATAAACCATACCTGCCTCCACAGTGGGTGAGAGTTAAAGGGGAGAACTCCAGGCAGGGGGCCAACCCCCCCGGGGGTCCTGAGCTCAGTGCTTCAGCCCTGCTGAGCCGCCCCCGTCTCTCAGGTGAGTGTGAACGGAAAACACTTTCTCCACTTCCGCTACCGGCTCCCGCTGTCGCGGGTGGACACCCTGGGCATATCCGGCGACGTCTCCGTGAAGGCCGTTGCATTCCTGAACAGCAACGTGAGTTCCCGGCCCAGGCCTGTGTGGCTGCGGCCTCGGATTGCCCTGATGCCTGGACAGGCCCTGGGGCCCCTCCTGCCCAGACACGCCAGTTACAGCCCAGCGAGAGGGGGCCCATCAAGCCGTCAGAAATAGTGGGGTGAGGGGATGAGGAGACACCAGACGCAGCCCGGGAGCCTCAGCAGGAGTCTGTACTGGGGAGCATTCTGGGTAAGCAGAGGAGCCAGGCTGGGCCGGTGACTGGGAGACGTGGAAGGCGGGGCCCAGAGAGTCCAGCTGGCCCTACCACTCCCACCTGGGGAGCTCATTAAAAATGCAGATTTCTGGAGCCCACGGCAGAGATTCTGACTCAGTGTGACTGAAGTGGGACCGAGGCTTCCACATGTCAGAATGTCAGGCTTAAGAACCTCCTACAAGGCTCATGGGCAGGGTGAGGGGCCCTCCCTGGCGCAGACAGGCCTGAGTGAGCAGCTCTCCAGCTGGCAGAGACCCTGAGTCCTGCTCGTTGCCTTTTCTCTTCCCAACAGCCCTTTGTGGAGGGCGGCAGTGAGTACCCTGCTGGACACGTGAGTCTCCTGAGAGCAAGACTGGCCCTTGGGGTGGAGCCACAGCTGAGCCGGGGTCCCTACCACCACCACCATGTGGCCACCCTCCTGGGTGTGGCTCACCTGCACCAGCTGCTCCTCCTTTCCACCATGGATACAGCTGGCTGGGCCTCAGGCCCTAAGGAAGACAGCTAAGACAGCTGGGATGCTGGCTGCGAGGAGTGGGCAGGACCCCAATATTCCGATCAATGACCCTTTTAGTGGGAGCTCTCAATCCCCAGGTGGGCAACCCTGTAAGGCAGTGAGCTGGCCAGGCAGGCCTGCTGGGTAGAGGGGGGATGGGACCCCATGCTGGCCCCAAGCCTCCTAGTGGGTTAATGACAGACCCCCTGTCGAGCTCCCCCCATCTTCCAGGGCTGGTGTTCCTCAGAATGCAAGAGGGCCCCACTGGGGGCTCCAGTGACCCACCTGTGTTATTTCTAAGAGGGATGAATCCCAAATGTCCCCAATTTCTAGTAACAACAATAGTATTAAGGGGTGCTGGCTCACAGGACAAACGCCAAGTGGCCCCTGGACCCTCTTTCTTTCCCTGACAGCCTTTCCTGTCCGAGAGCCCGTGGCTGGTGAGTGACCCTCATCCTGCCCTATCAGGGCTGGGAGGGCCAGGGAGGGGGAGGGGGGGTGCAGCGCCACCTGGCGGGTAAGGCCCTGGGCAGCAGGGCTTCCCCTTCCTCCAGGCAAACTGCGGGCCGCCTCTGGGCTGAGGCTCCGGCTCCATTCGGCCTTTTCTCCATTTACTCTGCACTGTGAGCTGATGTGTTTCTGTGCCCAGCCCGGGGCCAGCCCAAGCAGCGGTCAATCATCCCAGCTTCCAGCTGGTGGGGAGCAGCCATCATAGCCTGGGTGCAGCGATGGGGGACACAGGGGCCCGCCTGGGGAATGAGGGGGGTGGGGGGTCCTCCCTGGCCCCTTGAGAGTGGCCTTCTCAGTCATCTCCCTGTTCCTCCAGGAGGCGCCCTGCTCCCGTGCTCTTCCCCGGGGGCTCTGGCCAGGGCAGACCATCACCGTGCGGGGCCTGGTCTTGCCAGAGCCTAAGGAGTAAGTGTCCAGGTGGACGGGAGAAGCCTGCGTGTGCAGGCGGCGGCTTCGTATACATGTTTATTATACGCTGTTCTGTTATTCCAAGAGGCTTAGCTCTTTCTCCTCCCACCACATATTTAATCCCCACTTTACACAGTGGAGCCTCAGAGAAGTAGACAGAGCCTGTGAGAGCCAGGCTGGGACTGGGGGCTCAGGTGGCCTGCAGAGCCCCAGCAGCCCCACCTCGGGGAACGTCTCCCCACAGAACACCCGGCCAAGCCCAGCACGGGGCAGGTCCCAGCGGGGGCCTCGGGACGGGCCCTTTGCAGGTGCCACTGCCACCCCAGAGGACGCTGCCAGGGCAGCACGGTGCCTGGCTTAGCAATCAGGAGGCTGAAGCAAGGCTGGGGCTGGGAAGCGGACGGGGAGGGCACAGGAGCTCAGTGGAAGCTGCTGACTCCTCCCACAGGGGGCGCCCAAGCTCTGTTCCCCAAACCTCCAGCCCCTGTGGCTGACGCCCTGTCCTCCCCTCTGCAGTTTCACCCTGAGCCTGCGGGACGAGGCCGCCCACGTTCCTGTGACCCTCAGGGCTTCCTTCGCGGACAGAACTCTGGCCTGGGTCTCGCCCTGGGGACGGAGGCAGCTGATCTTGGCCCCCTTCCTCTTCTACCCCCAGCGGTTCTTTGAGGTGGGTCAACCCCATGACCTGCCCCTGGGGTGGCGGTGGGTGGAGCACAGGGCTGCAGCCCCGTCCCGGACACCAGGGGCACGTCCCAGGCGCCCGACAGAGGCTGGGAGTCATGCCTGGGGCGGGGGTCCTGCACCCAGAAGCCCAGCTTTAATTAATCTGGGCGCACCCCGCATCCGCTTACTGAAAAGCCCTCATGTCGCTCCAGCTTGAAGCCAGGGCTGAAGACCCTCCTCCCGAGGGGAGCAAACCCTGCTCTAGCAGGTAACCCTGAGGCCAGGGCTGGGAGGACCCTGGCCGGAGACCAGACGCCCCTGGTCCTGTTCTTTGCAATGCTGGGGCCCTGTGCCCCCTGAGGGGAGGAGGGGCCCCTGAGAGGGCATGAGGCAGCGTCCTTTTCCTCCGTCCCAGGTGCTGCTGCTGTGCCAGGAGGGAGGGCTGCAGCTGGCGCTCAACGGGCAGGGCGTGGGGGCCACCAGCCTGGGCCAGCAGGCCCTGGAGCGGCTGCGGGAGCTCCGCATCAGTGGCAGCGTCCGGCTCTACTGTGTCCACTGCTGAGCGGGACCCATGGGCCTGGCCAGAGAAGAGGGGGGCCAGCCTGCTCCCAGCATGGGCCCCCTCCTCCTCCCTATCACACTAAACTGTGTCCCCACCATGCCAAGCAGGGCTGCTCCTGGAACCAGGAACCTGAGGCTGCGGGGGCCCTGGCACCCCAGCTCTGCTCCCCACCCTCTGCCACTCCCCCCTGCAGCCCAGGATGGGGTTCCATCTTCCTCCTGGCCTCGGCAAGGACACAGGCTTTCTAGCCTAACACAGACGCCCCAGTACAGTGGCTCAAAGGGTGTAGACACTCAGGTCATCCTCACCTAACAGTTCTGAGGAGAATGGCCGAGAACAGCAGGCCGGTCTGCTCCTGGGGGACCCCAGGGTGGACCTGGTCATCGTCTCACTGCAGCTCAGCACCATCTGTGGCTGAAGCTCAGTCACCTCCATATCTAGGTGTCCCTCTCTGAGAAATAGGACGTGGACAAGGTGCTTCTGATTTCACTATCCCCAGGCCCGAGGCGGGACCATGAGCTCACACCCACATGTACTGCTCAGAGGGAGGCCAGAGACCGATGGGGAAGGGATCCCAACACTGACTTTGGGGGGCTGGAGGTGGCCCCCCGGGATGACCAGGTGCCTGGGTGCACATCTACGGCCATGAAGGAGAGCGCAAGGATCTTGGTGGGGAGCTGCACTCCCTGTGCTAATATCCTCATCCCATAAGGAAGGAGACTCAGCACAGAGAGGCTAAGTGAAAGGGGACCCAGCACCAAGGGACACTGCAAGGCGAGAGAAAAAACAATTTAATAATTACTAATTACATATATTATATGTAATGACATGTCTTGTATACTGTATAGAGCAGTACACGCATGTATTACATAATAAAATCTACCACATGGCATCACATGTATAAATTTATATTTTTAATACTTGTATTAAATACTAATAATAGAAAAAATAAAACCGAATACACCAGCCATCCCAGTAGAGGAGATTTTGTGCTGTTGAGAAACATCCTTCTATGCTGTTGGCAAAAATCTCATGTAAAGATGGCAAGAGAGGATTGTTTCCTTCTGACGTTTATCCAGTGTGCGCTGGTATTTATTTAGTTTGTGCATTTATCCCCCGCCGCATCCCCCTCCACCCAGGAGCCATACGTGGGGGTCCCACCCACCACACAGGTGAATCGTGGGAGCGGGTTGTGGTTCCACAGCGGAGTCTGCCCCCACAGGGGATGCCCAGGACCATCTCTCCAGAGTGCGGGGCCCTGGAGGGCTGAGCCCTCTGTGGAATGGGGCAATGTGAAATGTAGGGGACCACACAAGGCCTAACCTTGAGCCATCTCAGGAGGACAATTTAGGACTGTGGGAAAATTCCAGTCAAAACAGTAGAGGCTGGTTCCCGTCAGAAAAATAAGGTGTATGTACCCTTTGCACCTGGGCCCTGGGATGTGGTGAAACACTGCTGCTTGGAACTGCCTGTTTCTGCTGCTGTACTCCGCTTGCTCTGGCGCTGTACACTCCTGGATGCGGTTTTTGGATTTAAGAACCCTTATCACCCCCGGTTGGGGCTGCTCCCTCCGAGAAGGACAGTCCCTGGCCAGCTAATAAAAGCTTCTTCGTGGGCCTCCCTGGTGGCGCAGCAGTTGAGCTCTGGGCTGAGAAGCTGCCTGCAGCCTCTGCAGGGCCAGTTCGATCCCCGGCCACCGGCGAGGGTCCCACATGGCGCGTAGACCTCTCCTGCCGCCCGCTGCTCCCCTCAGCAGTGTCCTTCGGTCCTTCTGCCTGCTCTGCTCCCCGCTCTGGCTGTGGTGAATTCTCTCACCCTCCCGCACTTCTGACTGTACCCAGTGCTTGCATAAATTAAAAAAAAAAAAAAAGCTTCTTCTAAGTCTGATCCAGACTCGGGTCTGTGTCTAGGGGAGTCTCTACAACTCCCTCCACCCTGCACCAACCCAAGCGCTGGGGTTTCCTGGCTGAAGCAGGTCACTGAGCTGGAGTCCTGGGCCCTGTGAAGAGAACCGGCCCAGATAGGACAGAACTGGCTGTGCCAACAGCGCGGGGCCATCGGGCACGACTCCTGGTCATTGGCAGATTAAGTTACCAAGAAAAACAAGGGTGTGAAGGCTTTGTGTTATAGAATCGAATCGCGGGAATGAATGGGCATTTTTAGGCCTTTGTCCCTGACAGAGAATAGCATTCTCCGCTCTCTCCTCACCCACAGCAGCCGCATATCTGACACACAGGAAAATCTTGCTGACTTCCCCAGAGTAGAGATTGCTTCATAAACATGCTCTGATCATGATCCAGTCAAACAAGAAGCCGCTGACTGCAGCCATGACAGTCGGGAGGGTTAGTGAGGGGCATGCCCGCGCCAAGACCCAGGCTCCCCAAGGGTGTAGGCCTGCCCATCATGGGCTGGCAAGCTGTGTCAGCTCTGAGGGAATGCCACAATCCCATAGGGTGAAACCCAAGATCTCTCACCTCTGACACCAAATGTGTATGAGTGTTTCCCTGGCACTGTATGTGCCCACGTGCTCTTGGGCCCAGAGCCTGGTGTCGCTGCTGAGTGCGGTGAGCTGGGCCCTTGGACACAGAGCCGACCGGGAGCAACGCAGGAGCCACCACTCAGGGCCTGTCAGCGTGTGGGCTGCCTCGGGCCGGGCTTCTGGGCCAGACCCATTACCTGGTGGGGTCAATAAGTTGTCCCTTAGTAGTTCTTTCTGGTATCCCTCAGCTTCCAGTACATTCTTCTTATTAGCTGCAGACTGGGATATGCTGTGTTCTGGGGATTAAAGGATCAGACTTTTATAACTTTAAGGTTGTGAGCAAAGTAAGTGTCACCTCCCCCAGGGCTGGAGTTGTGGTGGTGGCGATGGACCTCCCTGGAGGATGACTGGATCCTGAGGGCCCGTCTCTGGGGAAGGTTGCAGGTGGCAGTGGAGCCGGTGAGGATGCTGGAGTGGAAGTGTTAGGGGGGAAAAGGATGTCCTAAGCTAATTCCATGCAGGCTTTGTGGACTCCACCCCCACCCCAGGCCAAAGCCATCAGGACATTGGGAAAGACAAATCCCGTCACCACCAAAGGAAAGGTTGCTGGAACCTGAGGGTGGAGTTAAGCAGCCAGGTTTGGTATAAAACCAGACACATGGGCTTTGGGGGGCTTCCTTTTGGCTCTCCGCCAGCTTTCGGCTCGCTGACAGCTCTGAGAGTGCCATTGGGTTTCCAGGTCGGCGGATCGGGTAGGACGCATTTAAGACTTTATTTCCCTATTTTCTCCCTGAGTTGTACATTTCCTCATTTCGCCTTCCCTTGAAAATAAACCTTTTATTAACCTTTTGTGTGTGTCTGCAGTGGAGCATTAATAAGTCCTTTTTAAGCGCGCAGGTGGGGACCCACAGCCAGGCAACCCGGTTTATATCGGGGCTGCCCTGTAACAGAAGGACCCGGGGTGGGGCTTGCCATTCTGAGCCCACAGCTGAGGCAAGCAGACAGCCGGCCCATTTCAAGGAAGGAGAGTTTCCAGAAATCAAACCTGGACCAGCTTGGCCCGTTCACTTTGGGCCATAAAGTAACAGCAGCTTCACCTAATGGTGCCAGGTAGGTGACCCCTGGGCCACACCCTCCTCCCCTGACGCTGGGCTGCAATCTCTGAGCACCCGGACCCCTCAGCAAGTCCTGTCCCCTCTCCAGGGAACAGGGTTTGATGGGGTCCTGTCTGCTGCTCAGGGCACTCTCAGGCTCTGGGCTGAGCCAGATAACAGGCCCTTTGTCTGCTCCTGCCTCAAGAAGCTCCGTCCCCGGCACCTTTTCAACACCTGTAGCCCCTGTTTCATCTATTTTGTCAAAATTGTAGTTGTTTTTACCAGAGGGGGTAAATCCAATCCCATTACTCCTCACACCCGACACTCAAAGTGCAAATACCTTAAATTTCATTTCGTGGCTGGGTGGGAAGCCGGCTCCGTGATCTTCCCTTTCCAAGTGCATGATGGTTTCTCCTGTGTTGGGAGCTGCTGCCCTAAAGGGAGCTGGAGTTTTGGGAGAATGCCTGTTTACTCTGCGTACAGAGTTCCAGAACTTTAGAAGTTCTGCAAACAGAACTTCCCAGAATTGATTCCTGTTCTCTGAGGACCTGCTGGCTTGTGCATGTTCCCCACTAACCAGGAAAACTTGTTTTCAGCAGTAACTTATTCATCTGTGTAAGCAAAAACACAGTTGCGTGCTATTTTCTTGTTCCTTTGTTCATATCTTCAATAAAAGCTTGGGCTGGGAGAGAGAGGCAGAGCTGCTCTTGATGGCTCTCCTCAGCCTCCCCCTGCTGCAAATTCATTTCGACTCCAAGTCTCTGTTAATGGCAGAGAATTTCATCAGCTGTCCTGTCCGTGGCAGTGGCACCTAAACAGGGTCACGAAACCTGGAACCTCAAGGAAGTTTTGTCTCCCACAGCTTAAAAGCTGTAAACCTTCAGCTTGCAGTTATCCCCAGTCCACTGACTCTGTATCAGCCCCCTGGACAGAATCACTGCCCTGCCCTACTCCACCCCCTTTCGGCAGGAAGTAACCAGATAGAATCGACGCCCCATACCCTCGCAGCTGCTTGGAGTCTTGCTCTGTCTGGGGGGACTAAAAAAAAAATCTGAAACTGTTAGGGGGAAATGATGTCCTGAGCTAATTCCATACAGGCTTTGTGGACTCCACCTCCACTCCAGACCGAAAGCATCAAGATACTGGGAAAGACAAATCCCATCATCACCAAAGGGAGGGTTGCTGGGACCTAAGGGTGCAGTTAAGCTGCTAGGGTTGGTATAAACCAGACAGGTGGGCCTTGGGTCTTTCTTTCTTGGCTTCATGACTCTTGGCTCTCTGCCAACTCTCAGCGTGCCATGGGGATTCCAGGTCCGCGGAAAGGGTAGGACACATTTAAGACTTTATCTCCCTCTTTTCTCCCTGAGTTGTACATTTCCTCATTTCCCCTCCCCTTGTAAATAAACCTTTTATTAACCTTTTGTGTGTGCCTGCAGTGGAGTATTAATAAGTCCCTTTTAAGCACCCGGGTGAGGATCCACAGCCAGGCAACCCATTTTATATTGGGAGAACTTGGGAAGCTGTAAAGGCTGAGACACGGGCTTATACAAAACTCCATTTAAAATCTGGGCCTGCTACGTGTGTGGGAGGCTTCCATCCTGAATAAGGAAACTGAACTTGTGTGAATATTATCTTCCAAAAGAAAATTTTGGATCCTGCCTGTGTGCTCAATCCATGTTTTGTTGTCAAAAAATGTTCATGTTAGTTATACTACATTCATGTATCCTGTTACTTGTAGTGACTGTTATCTACAAAAAATGTATTAACCAGACATATTGGGAATCTAGTCCAAACATCACATTCTTAATACCGAAAGGGCTGGCAGCCACTTGGGTTCCAGATAAACTCCGGGATCAGTGGCAAGAGACCCCTTCTATCGCATTCCTACAGGAGTTGTTGTATTACTTAAAACACTGCACCAGAAGAGTCATATAGGTTTTACCAAAACTAATTATACTTTGCTTTAAAAACAAAAAGGGGATATGTTGGGAGCCCATCACCCTAGGGAGAGCCAGAGTCTTCTGGGAATGTCTGTTTACTCTACACGGAGTTCCGGGACATTAGAAGTTCTGAATGCTGAACTTCTGTAAACATTAGAACTTCTGTAAACGGAAGTTCTGTAAACAGCACTTCTTCCCAGAATTGACCCCTGTTCTCTGAAGATGAGCTGGCTTCTGTGCATGTTCCCCACTAGCCAGGAAAGTTGGCTAGTGCCAGCTGCCCGCAGCCTCTTAGCAGTAACTCATTCATCTGTATAAGCAAAAACACAATTACGTGCTATTTTCTTGCTCCTTTGTTCATATCTTCAATAAAAGCTTGGGCTGGGAGCGTTGAGAGGCAGAGCTGCTCTCGATGGCTCTCCCTGGCCTCCCCCCACTGCATATTCATTTAGATTCCAAGTCTTCCTTAATGGCAGAGAACTTCATCGGCTGTCCTGTCTGCAGCACTCCTGGGCTATTTCCTCTTCTCCGTCACCATCCCTGCTCACCCCCACCCCGCCTTCCAACCCGGCACAGGGTACTACTCCCAGGAATCTGCATAAACCAGCCTCCACCCGCCATGCTTCAAAGACATCATGATTCCCCTCCTATTTGGTCAGTTTTATAAACTAAAGAAGCTCCTTCACTTACAGTGGGGTGACGTCCCCTAAACCCATCTTAAGTCAAAAAGACCCTAAGTCACAAAGGCACCGAACATGCCCACAGGCCAGCACCCAGCTGGGCCTCACCTGCCTTCAAGGTGCCCAGGAGACGCCTTGGCTGCTGCTGATCTCGGTCTGCAGCTTCATCTCAAGGGAGCCACCTCCCTCTTCTCTCCAGAAGCAGGAGACGCAACTGGGGGTTTTGCAGACCAGGTGGGAAAACACAGTTTCCAAACACACTGACGACACGTGCTGCCCCCATAGTCTCAGGGCTGAAACAGTGATGCTCTGGCCATTGTCCCCCACAAGAGACCCTCTTGCCACCAGGAGAGGATGCCCACCATCCCGGGAGGAGACCAACATTCAGAGGTGCAGTCAGGTTTCCATGAAAGACATCACCCCGCACCATCAGTTAAGGACCAAGTAGA